GTGCAGAGGTGTGCTGGAAACGGCCGGATTACGTATTATTATTACTAATGATTTGCACACACCTAACTTCTGAATGGCAAACCGAACGGATTCAGCTATGTTGCATAGTCACTATCACCATGATACTCTCCTCTCTCTCTCTCCTCGCTGCAAAAAAATTATTTTAAAATCCTTCCTGTGAGCGGGCGTGAGCCAAGATGAGCGAGTCCATAAACGCACATTCACAATATAACATCACAATGTGAGGATTTTCAAATCCTAGCTTTCTACATTCTATTTTCTATCAGAGGCTAACGCAGAGACAGGTGTAGAAGACTCATGTTCAGCCTGGATGAAAAACGAAGCGTGACCGATTATAATCAGATGTTCCACACCTTTAACTGGGCCAAACTGGCGTCTAATGGAGGAGTGGTCTCGTGGGTGCAGGCTGTTATTAACCACTTCACACAGAGTGTCATGTTCTGCGTCCCTTTGTTCCCCAACCCCTCCAGTTCCTACTCCAGGTTCTCCTTTTGTGTTTCATAGCGCCCTCATGTGTCCTTTGTCTGCATCTCATTTATGTGTCTCCTGTGTTCATTTAGTTATCCTCTACCCCTCCAGTTGTAGCTCCAGCCTCTTGTTCCCCAGCTTAGTGTGTGTGTGTGTGTGTGTGTGTGTGTGTGTGTGTGTGTGTGTCCTGCCCCAGTTCATTGTATGTGTGTCAGTGTGTGTGTGTGTGTGTGTGTGTGTGTGTGTGTGTGTGTGTGTGTGTGTGTGTGTGTGTGTGTGTGTGTGTGTGTGTGTGTGTGCGTTTGTGTGAGTTCTTCCCTCAGTCTTAGGTTTAGTTTTATGTTTAGGTTTATCTGCCCTCTATTGGTTCTGTTTCCCCCATTTAGATCATTTGTGTCACCTGCCTTCCCTCCAGCCCTCACTCCACACACCTGCTTCCTGTGTCCTTAATTGTTCTCCCTGGTTATATAAGCCTGTCTTGCCTCTGTCTTGTGTCGGTCCATTGTTGCTGTCAGTGTGTTTGTAGTTCTGTCAGTCACGTCTCTCTGTGTATAACCTGTGTTTTTGGATTTCCAGTTCTTGATCTGATTTTTGGATTTTGGCTCCCAGCTTTGGATTTACTTTTTGGTTTTTGGCTCACCTTTAAATAAAGTATTATTTACTTAACCTTCATCCCTGCCTCGTGTCATCCTGGGTTCTGCATTTTGGGTTCTAACATCCCTCCAAACTGTGACACAGAGAGATAAGGGGCCTGCTGGCCAGTTATTTATCATAAAGCTGATCATTTTTATTGAAGTTACATTTTGTGTCCATGAACTTCCCGGGCAAAACCAGTTGTGCTTATCTTCACCCAGACCTGCAAACTGAATTTAAGCTTTTTATTAACTGTGATTTTCTTCATTCTGATGACAGTGAGATGTTTACTTTCACTGAATAAAAGTCAGCTCAGTAATTCAGGTTTGACTTTGACGTTGTTGACCTTTTTCAAAACTTTGCACTGAGAATAATTTGCTGCCAGTGAACGGCGTCCATGCTGGAAAAGAAATGAGTCCCACTGCCCTGTCTGTCTGAAACTTCAAGGCCATTTGTCTCAATAAAAGGTTTCTTCATTTTCCCTTCTCGTTGCTTTTGATAAAAGCAATTTCCCTTAAATCTAATTTTATAAAACAGATCTAATCGTTTAAATGTAGGGATAAGAAAACAGCTGATATGTGGTGTATTTACGCTCCTTAATCAGTATTTTGAAGTTTGGCTCTTATTAGGATGTTGAAGAACAGTTACCTCCAGATCAATAGGACTCCTGCCTCTGAGCCTGCCTTCGTGTCCCAGTGGTGCCCAGTCAGTTCGCTGAAGTTCACCCAGTCTGGTTGGTATGCAAGACAACATCACATTTAAATGATGCCCCACTGCTTTGTCCCATCGCATTAAGTGGAGGAAGAAAACGCGCTTCGATCGTGTTGTTACCGACTGCGATGCACGCTCGGGTAAATTACCAGGAACAAGCTGCACTTATTCTAACGAAGGACAGAAAAGTGGAACGGCTTCCTGATTGACTCGATTGTTTAGCTTCAGTTTGGCTTTACTGGGTAAGGAAATCCGTCTCCAGGAGTTAGATCCTCCTGGTGAATGGTGTTCCACATCCATCCCAGTCCTCTCTGTTTATTTACTAAAACTGAGATAAATCACCCTGATTCTTTGTTGTTGTTCCAGAACTCCCAGCATGGATATGGATCAGTAATAACTTCTGCTACGTGCACAGACAAAACACACACACATATATACATACACACAGGCAGGGGTTAGGGAACTCTACTCCGTGAGTTTACACATTAACACTGCAATTAGTGAGGGAGGTGTGAGCCCCTGCTGATGTCACACAGATGTTCTGCAGGATTTTCTAACAGGAAAAAAAAGTCATTTGGGCTTTTCGATGTGTTTTATAGGAATCCTGTGTGTGTGTGTGTGTGTGTGTGTGTGTGTGTGTGTGTGTGTGTGTGTGTGTGTGTGTGTGTGTGTGTGTGTGTGTGTGTGTGTGTGTGTGTGTGTGTGTGTGTGTGTGTGTGTGTGTGTGTGTGTGTATTAATGCTGCGGAGCGAGTCAGCAGCACTGTTCTGGTGAGTCAGAGGATAAGAAGCTGAGAGAGTCAGTGAAAGAGGTGTGGAGGGTCAGCCCAGTGCATTCTGGGTAAGGTCTGGTCAGTGCATGGCTTGATGTGAAAAAGATTATGACTAATTTGTCTTACCTGGGCTGCATGGTGGCGCAACTGGTTGTGCTGTTGCCTCACAGCGAGAAGGTTGCAGGTTTGAATCCCGGTTATGGCCTTTCTGCGTGGCATTACAATGCTTTCATCATGCAGGCGTGAGCTCTTTCAGGATGCTCAGACTTCCTCCTACAGTTCAAAAACATGCTTTGAGTTAACCGACATCCCATTAACGCGTCTCAAAACAACTATTTCGTTGTAATTACTTTTGATGCAACAGCTATTTAGCAAAAACCTGAGTTATGCAAACGGTAAAAGGTCTGTATTTGATACAGCACCTTCTAGAGTCCTGGAACCCCCCCAAGGCACTTTACAACACAATCAGTCATTCACCCATTCACACCCTGGTGGAGCTACGATGTAGCCACAGCTGCCCTGGAAATATTTCAGTTTCAGATAAATGCATTCACATGCTTTGGTTCCACATCTCACAACTTGGGGGGGGGGGGGGGCGTCCAAGCTTACTGTCAGGATGGTACAGGCTAACCCCTGAACCCCCTAGAACTGCCCCTGTAGGCTTGTAAATATCAAAAACACAGAAATCCCTAAATAACGTTAAACTGAAAACAATAAAAGGTTTTAAAATAGGATTAGTGCTGTTCTTTTGTGATGTGGTGCATTCCAGTCGTGATGGAAAATCAGAAATTCTGTGTTTCAAATGGGAAAATTCAACCATATTGCCTTAAATATAGAGACTCCCAATCAGATCAAACACTGGTGACACTGGAACATTTTGATTATGGTGCAAAAGCTCAGTATTGAACTTAGACCGAGAGACCATCTAAAGGCTCAGGAACCCTTTGCAGGTGTTTTGGACTCACCAGCTGATTAGAGTCTAGAATATTGAACCTTTTTACAATATTCTAATGGTCTGAGATTTTGGGGTTTGGGGATATTCTGTAGTTTTTCTTTGCCCACAAATGCTGAAGAGTGCAGGATGTTGTTTGCATCACACGGGGCAGAAGCTCAAGTGTCAAGGATCTTTGTTCTCAGATCTGATTTGAGTGAAAAGATTCATGTTTGAACACGTCTCCGGTGGAGATGCTCCTCTCTTCTCCTTTTTATTTTGAAGCCTTGCTTTAATGCAACACAACAATTGCTCCTCCTTCCTCCCTCTTGTTGGGTTTTGTGATCCTCTTCCCTCTCCTGTTCTCACATATCTGCATTTGACTTCCTCTGACTGGGCAGTTTTTGTGTCACCTGTGAGAACACAGTGTCTCTCCAAAAGGACAGTGGAACATTACACAGTGTTCTTTGCCCTTGCAGAGCCTGGGGATGGATCCTATGGGTGCACATAAATAAAACACATCCGTTCCCTCAGTGGTTAAGCATTAATAATAATAAAGCATGTTAAGCTGTTACTAAAGGAGAATTAAAAACTACTTTACATGAAGGCAAGTTTGCTTCATGATGAAATCAAAAAATGTTTTTTTTTAATTAAATATACAAGAAAAGGTTTTCAAAGTAAAACGTTTGATTTGGTTTGAATAAACAAAACTTTTGCTTTAAGAAAAACTTCTTTGAAAAGTAAAATTACTGTGGAACAGAAATACTCCATTATTTGTTTACTGTTGAAGTTGGATGATTTATTAGATTTACAAAAATGTTGTTAAATATATATATTTTTTGCATTATTGAAACAAAAACACCTCCAAACCTGCCTTAAACTCAGGTTTCACGTCAGAGTTGTTCTGATAGCAATCTTCTCATTTTCTGCATGAAGAAGCAACTTCACGTGCTTTTTCAGTTTTCTTAAAGGTAAACACATCCAGGCTCGTAAGAAACAAATACGATAATCACTCATCGTTTTCCTTTTCTAGAAGAATCAGAACTGCGTTCTGTGCCTTCTCTTCCTTTCAGCCCGTCCCCTTTTCCTCCTGTCCTGCTTTTCCGGGCCTTTCTCTGTAGCAGGAATTTCTCCAAGCGTGTACGGACGAGTGCACCCATGATATGAATATTTGATGGCACTCATATATCTCCCATGAGGGTAGTGAAATATTAAAGCGCTTTCCAGTGGACTTCTTAGACATCACCTCTCATGAAGCAACGCTGAAATGATTCTGAGATCTTGAATCTTTTTTTGTGTCTTTTTTTATGCTCAGACTTTAGATATGATTGCTTGATCAGCTGGCCGATGAAATGTTTTTTCAGTGCAAACATTTGATGATGTGATGGGATAAACCATCCTAACAGGTGTTTTTTCTTTTTTCTAAACAGGAAGTGCATTATTTAGATGTGTTCTGTCTTTCAGCGAGATGCCAAAGGACAGTACCTGTTTGACCTGATCTGCCACCACCTCAACCTGCTGGAGAAAGACTATTTTGGCATCAGATATGTCGATCCAGACAAGCAAAGAGTACGTTTTTTTTTTCACTAAAACATGATTTAGGTAAATAAATTGTAATTTCAAAACAATTCCCTTCAACAGAGGGAAGAAAAATCATCCCTCTCTATTTACCTGCAACCTCTTCTGAAATTTGTTTTGAAATGTGTGACTTGCAGAGGGCAGGAGTCCGGGTTCATCCCTGTATGGTTCAGAAACGTGGACTAGGCTTTAGAGCATCTGGAAAGTCCTCCGCATGTTTTATGAATGTTTTTCTTTTATTTCTGTCTGCGTTTGTTCTCGCTGGCTACAAAACAAATTGCCCCGTGGGGACAATTGAGTACAGAGTTTTATTCAGACTCAGCTGGGAGTACCGCTGCAGCTCCATCATCCTAGAAGAAGCTGCCCCCCAACACACACACACACACACACACACACACACACACACACACACACACACACACACACACACACACACACACACACACACACACACACACACACACACACACACACACACACACACACACACACACACACACACACACACACACAACTTTGCCACCATAACTCAGCACCAGCTCCGATTGTCTGGTCCTTCCAAAACAAGAGCTCCATTCCCATTGGGCCTTTGGGAAATGAGCTCCGAGGTCAAAGGACATTGTGTAAGGACCATGTAGACACACATCATAAAGACTCACACTGACCTTGGAGGTGCAATTTGTCAGAATTTCACAATAAAATAATCACAAAAACAGTCTCAGCCATGTTGGAAGGAAGGTGGTACTGAAACAGATTTCATTCTCAGCCTGCTGCGAGGTTGCCAGTTTTTCTTGTTTCAAAAAAAACTGAAAGAGGGACGAAGTAACTTTTTACAGTGCAGCTGATCCCTAACTGGCAACAGCCGCAAAACTCACGGAGAAGAGAGAGAGTAATTTTTTGCTTAAAAAAATGGACTGTGGGCTGCACGGTGGTTAGAGCTGTTGCCTTGCAGCAAGACGGTCCTGGGTTCGCTTCCCGGCCTGGGATCTTTCTGCATGGAGTTTGCATGTTCTCCCGCAGATGCGGAGTTGCATAACGACGACCCTCACTGAGCCGCAGCAGCAAGACCCTACTCAAAACTCCAGCTCCATCTGTGGTCTTACTGCATAACAAGATGTTTTTCCAAGATCAGGATTCTTCTCCACCTTCTCCACAACACTAGAAGCTGAGAAACTGTTGTGATTATGGACTCAGTGTGCTCAGCACCAAAACTTAAAAATTAAAATCTGATTATTTTCTGAAAAACCCGTCTTTACATCTCCTCCTCTCTGCATTGCGGTTGTGTTGGAGGAGTAAATAAACAGAAAGTGATGAGATGAGAGCATTATTACTGTGGCTTCCAGCTCTAAATGACAAATGATCGTCCTCACCTGCTGCTGAGCAGGCTGATGAACGACTGCTCAGCAGGAGAAGAAAAACCTCACTTCTCTTTCTCTTCTTTGCAGCACTGGTTGGAGTTTTCAAAGTCAATCGCCAAACAAATGAAGTGTGAGTATTTTATTTAATTGTCTTTTTCTTTTGGTTTACCTTACTGGAGGGGTGGAGGGAGAGAGAGCCGTAGGGTCTTCAACTTCATCCTGGAGATCTGCTATCCAGCATGACTTTTTGTTTCCCCGCACACCTGATTTTAATCAGCAGGTAATTAACAAGCATCTGCTGAGCTTGATGAGCTGCTGAACAGGTGTGTTGGAGCAGGATAACCACTAAAACAAGCTGGATAGCGCCCCTCCAGGACTGGAGTTGAAGACTCTTGATGAATGTTTCAGATCAGCAAACGAAATCCAGTTTTCAGATGAATTCTTGTTTCAACGGGAGAAATCCGTTCCAATCAGCCGTGCTCAGTGGGAGAAAGTAATTACCTCCTGCATGTACTGATGCCTTGTTCACACGTGGCTAAATAATTATGCAATCTTACGACTCGATTCTTCTCTTTCCCTAATTAAAGATGCCATGACTATTGTAACTGCTCAGACAGTCCTGCCTGTGGTGTGTGGAGAGTGCTTTGGTCGGTTTGGAAGGATGCACCAGGGATCACAAATGGAGGAAATTCAACACGTTGCACTGTTTTGGCCAAATACCGCAGCTTTTGTGGTATGCCCCAAGGACAAACAGCCATGCAGCCTATTAAATGTGATGTGTAGCCAATCAGGAGTAGTCCACAACCTATCGCCAATTCATCCTCCTTGTCCGCCATCTTTGTATCCTCCAACGTCACGTTTGATCTCGAGAGTTTGAGATTTCTGACCTGTGATGCTGTCTTGGCCATGTGGCCACGCACTTTAGGAAGCTGTTGCATCCATCTTTTTTTTATCAACACCTGTTGGGTCTCATGTTTTGAGAACCCACCAACAATTTTAAATGATTGCCACGTAAGTCGTCTTTGTCTGATGCTGATATCAGTTTGCTGATCTTAAGCATTTAGGAATTGATTAGGGGACACATTGTTTGTCCACAGCTCTGTAGGTCAGATAAAACTTCATTTTGCTTTATCTCCTCTTCTTTCAGCTCAGCCTCCATTCACCATGTGTTTACGCGTCAAGTTTTATCCACCAGACCCCGTTTCTCTGAAAGAGGAAATCACCAGGTAGGATTTAGATATTGGGGGTGAAACTGGAAAAATTACAACATGGTGAAAAAGTTCATTTATCGCTCAAAGTGGAGCCGCTGCTCCTCCACACTGACAGAACTCCACTGAGGTGTTTCAGGGATCTGATTCGGATGCTTCCTGGCTGCCCTGCACCGGGGCTTTTCCAACTCAGAGAAGCTACTCAGTTTTGGAGGGACTGTATTATATTTTACTCTCTGGCTTGGGAACACTTTAGAAAAAAGCTTGGAAAACTGGGAACGCTGTTGCCAAAAATTGGTGAAATCATATTAGACTCCTGAAGAGGTAATTTTCATGACTTTATAAAAAATGCTGTCGGCTAAACAAAATAGGAAATTACGCTGGATTGACAAAAATACATACAAGTATATTTAAAATATTTTTAGGTTAAAATTAAGTTTTTGAGGTTTATACTCTAGTTGTCGTCGTCGTCTTCCTCCGCTTATCCGGGTCCGGGTCGCGGGGGCAGCATCCCAACTAGGGAGCTCCAGACCGTCCTCTCCCCGGCCACCTCCACCAGCTCCTCCGGCAGGACCCCAAGGCGTTCCTGGACCAGATTGGAGATGTAACCTCTCCAACGTGTCCTGGGTCGACCCGGGGGCCTCCTGCCGGCAGGACATGCCCGAAACACCTCCCCAGGGAGGCGTCCAGGAGGCATCCTGACCAGATGCCCAAACCACCTCAACTGACTCCTTTCGATCCGGAGGAGCAGCGGTTCTACTCCGAGTCCCTCCCGAATGTCCGAGCTCCTCACCCTATCTCTAAGGCTGAGCCCGGCCACCCTACGGAGGAAACTCATTTTGGCCGCTTGTATCTGCAATCTCGTTCTTTCGGTCATTACCCAAAGCTCATGACCATAGGTGAGGATTGGGACGTAGATCGACCAGTAAATCGAGAGCCTGGCTTTCTGGCTCAGCTCCCTCTTCACCACGACAGATCGGCTCAGCATCCGCATCACTGCAGACGCCGAACCAATCCGCCTGTCGATCGATATACTCTAGTTCATTAGTCTTATATTATTTATGACTTTAAAGTAATAGTGTTTGCAGGTGAAACTCAAAATCTGGAATGTATTACAAGTTAATTTATGTCAGTAATTCAACTTAAAAGGTGACTTCTTTATGAGGTAGACTCTTCCCATGCAAAGCCAGATATTTTAGGCCTTTGTGATCTCCGGCTCTCGCTGGAGCAGTTCACAGCCAAGTGAAGCAGCTGGGATGAGAATCAGCTCCTCTAAATCCGAGACCATGGTCTTTAGTCAGAAAACGGTAGAATGCCTTCTCAGGGTCAGGGACGAGGTCCTGCCTCAAGTGGAGGAATTTAAAGGGACTGTAAAGAAGTTTGAAGTTTTATGCTCGCGATCGCCACTAACGCCTAACGCGTAACTGCAGCTTCAAAAGTAAGCTCGTGCATGAGGTGTGCACGCTGTACGTGCACACTCCTTAATGAAAATAACAGCTGAGACAGTCCAGTGTGTGTGTGTGTGTGTATGTGTGTGTGTGTGTGTGTGTGGCCCAGAGGACAGAAGAACACAGCAAATTAATAAAAATAATGTGCCTCTGTCTCTGCAGCTGCACTTTCTCGTCAGCCGGCCGAACGTGCAGTGTGTGTGTGTGTGTGTGTGTGTGTGTTGGAGGACAGAGGGCAGGAGAACGAGCAGCTAATTAATTAAATAATTTGGTTCTGTACCTTTCTCTTCAGCACAGCCGACAAAGGTTTAAGATGGGCCAGTCCTCCTGCATGCTCAGATCATTCCCTTCCCTTGCTTGAAAAATTGTTCCAAAATGAAAGTTGAACCCACATCTTTTTTATCCGTGAATTCAGTGCCGTTCGGCGAGTCTCAAATAAAAATTTGGGCGTCTTATTACTGTAAAAATTATACCATTAATGTAAAAAAGAAACTCAAAATGACAAATTATGTTCACAACTAGAGTCAAACCCAGGTCTTCTGTATGAGAGTCAGATATGGAGCTAGGATTTGGACAATATTCAATGTAACTTGTACCAAGTTTTGTAACTTGGAACATGTTTCATGACAAGTAACTTTGAATTTGTAACTTGTACACCACAAATCGCCAGAGGAAATGTGATTATATGAAATTTTTGTGATTTGTCCCACCATACGCCATTCAAACTGACTTACGGCGCTGTGGGATATTTGGAACTGAGAGCTCCATGAACCACGTGACTGCGAGTCGGTGAGTTCAAAGAGTGTCGTAACTCTCTCTTTCTACAGCACTGACAGAACCCTGCCCTCCTCTCCCAGTGATTGGACAGGAATTCGAGAAACGTAATTGGTAGCTAAGACTCGTGCTCTCACTGGTTCCACCCAAGTTCCTCCCACCGAAGGTAGAATTGAGACAAAATTATTTGTAACACTGTAGATTTGAGGTTTGTACCTGTAGAATGAAATCTGTGTTTTGAGAGTTTTGATTTCAAACTTGTACATTGATTTTCTTATTTTGGAAGTCTGCTAGGTAAAAACCGAAAGTTTCATGTTTCTGAATGAATGATTGATGTTACAAAATGAGTAGTAAATGTACAAAATAAAAGTTTGATTTTACAAAATAAAAAATACATGTACAAAATGAAAATTTCCTGTTACAAAACAAGAAATCAGTTTCCTTCTGGGATTAATAAAGTATTTTTGAATTGAACAGAATTTGAATTGAATTGAAATACAAGTGCAAATTGAGAATTACAAGTTAGAAAACTAAAGTTACAAGTTACGAATCTAAAGTTACATGTGATGAAACATGTTCCAAGTTACAAAACTTGGAACAAGTTACGCTGAATATTCTCCCAATCCTAGCTCCATAGTCAGACACCTTACTAGGTGAGCTAAAGCGCCAGTGATGTTCAGTCTATCAGTAACACTTATATCCTTGATGACAGCTGAAACAACGTCAATCCAAAGAACGGTTCGGAGCAAAAATGGCTATTTTGTTGCTAATTTGCAGGAAATATCTAGAAGAAAGATCTACAGAAAGTAGCTAAGGGTCCTCAGAAATGTAGCTAGGTTCATCACTAGGCGTTAGGAACAGCGACAAAGTCACTGAGTTGGCACTGCCTCTCTCTCTGCTGCTAAAGCTACGGATAGCAAATGCTACGGGCGATGCCTGAGCGTGAACATGCATGAAGCAGCCTGCTCGACCCGAGCATCTCTCTTTTTCTGTGATTTTACAGAAAAACAGGCAATCACAGTAAAAATGCCAGGGCTCATTCTACAGGACCAGGGCATTGCAGGAGAATGTATGAAGAAGACATTTATTATTTCTATACATGTTTTGGCTGTCAAACTTCCATTATGTCCCTTTAAGTATCTCAGGGTCTTGTTCACGTGTGAGGGAAAGATGGAGCGCAAGATCTACAGGCGGATTGGTGCTGCATCTGCAGTGATGCGGGCGTTGTTCCGGTCTGTTGTGATGAAGAGAGAGCTGAGCCGGAAGGTAAAGCTATCGATTTCCCGGTCGATCTACGGTTCTGCCCTCACTTATGGTCATGAACTTTGCGTAGTGATCAAAAGAATGAGATTGTGGATACAAGAGGCCGAAATGAGTTTTCTCTGAAGGGAGTATGGCCTTTCCAGTCGTCTGAGAGGGGTTCGGAGTAGATCCACTGCTTCTCCACATCGAGAGGAGCCAGTTGAGGTGGCTCGGGCATCTGGTCAGGACGCCGCCTGGACGCCTCCCCGGTGAGGTTTCCCAGGCACGTCCAACTGGGAGGAGACCTAAAGGGAGACTCAGGACACGCCAGAGGGACTATGTCTCATGGCTGGCCAGGGATCGCCTCGGGATTCCCCAGAGGAGCTGGCCCAAGGGGGTGGGGAGAGGGAAGTCTGGGTCTTCCTGCTTAGGCTGCTGCCTCCCGTGACCCAACTATGGATAAGTGGGTGAAAATGAGTGGATGGATATTTGTGATGGTTATGGCTTACAGCTGATGAAAACCTCACTATCAAAATCTCAGACAATTAAAATTTGAATTGTGAAAAGATTCAATATTCTAGAGTCAAAGTGTTCCCCTCTAACCAGCTAACGACTCCAGAACACCTACACAGGGTTTCTGAGACTTTAAGTAGTCTCTCAGTCTAAGCTGGACTACTGACAAAAATAAACTTTTGCTCCATAATCTGATTTTTGGGAGCTTCACCTGTTTTAATGATTGCGTGATTTGCCTCCTTCTGATTGAGAATGCTGGAATATTCCGTTATAAGAATGTAAGATGGCATCAGCTAACAATTAAAACAGGACTTCTGTTGTTTTAAAGTTAAAGAAACAAATGTCTGAGGATAAAAATTAAACAATGTAGGTTAAAGTAAGTAGAGTGAAACCAAAAGGTATACAACTGATAACTCAGCAGGAAGTGTCTGGGTTTATTGAATAATTGGGTTAATTGAAAAATAAATTAAAAGGCTGCTTGTTAACAGAGACAATATGAATAATCAATTAGTTTGTGTTAAATAGTGTATTTCATTAAAAGAGTCCAAATCCTAACAGAGGAGGCATGTGTGCAGACTTCCTTTGTGGTGTGTCATGCAGCTCCTTACTGCTGCTGCAGTGTGCCGCGTCTTGACAGCTGAACAAACTGCTGTGAGAGATGTGAGCTGGCGTGCCGCCGAGCGCACAGATCGCCCATAAAGCACATCCCTCCACCGGTTGCCATGCAATCTAATCTCTTCACGGCAATCGAGCTCCCCTCGATGGAGGCAAGGGAGCGCTCCTCCATCCTCCTCCCATCTGTTCAGGAGGCTTTCAAGGAAACCCAAACACGCAGCAGGGAAACTACCACGGTTGTCTTTTTTTTTGATTCAGAGCTAATTTAAATGTCACACCTGAGTTTTTTTTACACTTTTTAGTTGTCTTTTTGTACGGTAACTAACTGTTGCTTCATGTGAATTCTTTATTTTACTGAAACATACAGTACATATTCTCTCTATTGGCATTTGTTACAACAGGGGTGGTTGTTGCTTTGGTCCTGAGAGGAGATCCCCAAGAGAGTAAGATGAAATCTTGCCAGTAGAAGAACTGATTTAAATGCTCAAGGAATGTTTTTCTTAAAAAAAAAAAATATATATATATATACACACATATTTATATATATATACATTATATATATATATATATATATATATATATATATATATATATATATATATATATATATATATATATACATATATACATATATATATATATATATATATATATATATATATATATACATATATATACACACACATATATATATATACATATACATATATATACACATATATATATATATATATATACATATACATACACATATATATATATATATACATATATAAATATATATACACACACATATATATATATATATAATGTACATTATTTGAAATGATGATCTTCCATTTGATTTAAAATTAAAAATTGAAAGTCTCAATTTGTATACTTGAATTATCTAGATTTTTGTTAGCACAGACTTTCAGATTAGAAACGATGAGGATCTGTCATGTTGGGGTTTAAGTGCTTGACCCAACACATGCAGAATCAACACAAGAGACAAATGTAAAATTAAACAAAGGTTCTAATCGGTGCACAACTAAGGACGTCCCAAACTGGGAGATGCTGGGTAGAGGGGCAGAATTGGACCTGCAAGTAGAGTCGGATTAGTAGGAGGTCTGGTGGTTTGAAGGTGGAGGAGGAGTGGAGGTCTCACTGTGCTGCTGGGGAGATGGTTCATAGGGAGGTCTGTTAGATCTGAGGAGACAGGATCCAAGTGTCCAGTGGGGTTGAGGTAAGGGTTCCAGAGGGGGGTGGATGAGCGATGATGAACGGGACTGACGGAAGGAAGATGCAGGCTGAAGAGAGGTCCAGGAGCTTGGCTGAAGGGGTGTAGTCGAGCTGGATCTGGGAAAAACAAGGAGCAGCGTCAAGTAGAAAAATCAAATATATAACTAGACTAGAGTTTTACTAGAGACTGAGTGGCAGGAGAGTTTCCAACTGGATGTACCCGTGTGGAGTAATCAACCGGCGTTGATTAGTGGTCTTCCTCCTCCTTTTAAGCCGGCAGTGGCTGATGATGGATCTGCGGCAGTTGGTCCCATTTAGACACCGCTCACCTGGAATGAATGCTGACGCAGGTTAGAGGATGAGCTCACCTCAGACCATGACAGGATCACAGTGCAGGGAGACAGTTCACCTGCACAGCCTAGGGGTATGTAAAGGCAAGAATATGGCGATACAATATACATCAGCACTGGGGAGGCGATCGAGTATATCACAATTCTAAAAGGCAGATAATATTTGCTATTTTTATAACTGAATTTCATTGGAAAACTCAGACCAGATCCTACCAAGACACATTCAGTTTTATCACAAGATCTTGTTCTGTCAGAATGAGGGCATTGAAAAGTGCCGCCACCTAGCAGTCGGAGGTTGAATTGCACCACGCAAAAAACAAAAATACATTTAATATTAACTTCTTCTTTTTTTCCGTGTCCTGTCTGGCTGTGAAGCAAACAGAATCGGTGTCTGAATGCTGGTGACAAGCCTTACAGATTTACTCTCAGATGGAGCATCAAAGCTTCTGCTTTTATTGTCACGCCTGACACTTAAAACTTTATTGTTATTGTTTTTTGGATGCTTTGTAATTCTGACCAGACACGGAGACAGAGGTGAAAGAGAAAGGAAGAGACAAAAGGAAGGGGGGAGGTTCCACAAAAATAAACAATCAATGATGAACAAGAGTCTGCTTCTAGACCTGCAGAAAAGGGACACACAACAATTCAACAGGAGCAAGCCATCACTGCGTCAACCTGATGAGAATATGTAAAATAAACATTGTTTTACTGAAGAATCACGATAATAACTCACAGTGCATTTAGTGCCAACCACAGCCTTAAGACATGTGTTGAACGTGCCCAAGTCCATACTTATGGGAGCACCTGTGTGTGTACACGCGCTTGTATATGTAAGATTTCTCTATAGGAGTGTCCAGTAGAGAGTGTGAGGGAACACAGATCTGCCCCCGAAAGATGTGTAGGAGATGGAGGGAGCGCCAAGTCCCAAAGATCCAGGAGCTGCCCCAGAGCGCAGGGACCCCAGGGAGACTGTAACCGAAGAAGCCCCCGTCCCCCTCGAGAGGCACAGAGGATTGCCCCAGGGGGCCACAACCAGCAGCCGGCAGAGTTCCGGCAACAGCGGCAAGCCGACAGGCCCGCCCGCAGCCTCCCACCACCAAGCCCGGAACCCAGCAACCCGGGACCCAAGGGCGACCAGCCACTCCGGGGACCCAACAGAGCCCAGGGACTAAGATCCCACCAGGCAGCCACCGGGATCAATCAGACAGCCACCCGACATGGGAGCTGCAAACACGCAGGAAGACCGAGGAAGACCGAGGCACCACACTCCACACCAAATGTGGCAGGGGGAGGGCAGGCAAAGATGTGTAGTAGCACATTACAGTACATTTAATATTTACATATAAATTCTCAATAAAATAGATCATCATCATCAAACTTATATAGCGCTTGTTTAGGACACTCAAAGACGCTTTCACACACTGCTAGTGATGGTAAGCTATACTGCTTTTAAATATTTAGTATCACAACACTAAATATTGTGATATTTTAGTGTATGGATATTGTCTCGCGTCCCTGCTCGTTATGTCCTGCAAATAATTGTCAGTTTTAATAAAACTGTTTTAAGCAGGGGCTGCATGGTGGCACTGTTGCTTCTCAGAAAGGTAATAGGTTCAAATCCCAGCTGCAGCTTTTCCACATAAAGTTAGATAATATGTCCCAATCAATGCGTGGATTTTCTCCAGGTGCTCCGTTTCCTCCCACAGACCAAAAACATGCATGCTAGGTTATGTTGAGACTGTAAATTGTTCCTAGATGCAAGTAGTTTTTTGTCTGAGTGTCCCTGTGATGAAATGGAGACATATCCAGGGTGTACCCCATCTCTCATCCGAGTTTGGCACCAGCTCCCTGAGACCCCAACACGGAAAAGCGGTTTAGAAAATGAACGAGTGTGCTTTAAACCAGTAGTTATTGCTTATGGAGACTAATTTGTCTGGGGAGTTGGGGGGTGGGGTGTTAGTTTGTTGTGCAGAAATGCAAAGTGAATTTTGCAGTGACCACAAACACCACCAGAGGTGCATCTTACAGGAGAACTGGGCAGTTTTGGTTTGCTTTTAGCACCCTCTAGAGTTTGTTTGTAGAACCAGAACATCTCCTCGGTGTGAGTTTGTCTTTTTAACACCATAATCTAACAGCTGAAACGTCTCCCAGCCTTCATTAGTGTCTACAGGAGTCATTCACCACTAAATTAACAAGTCAGCTGTGGTAATGATCTAAAACGTGCTGGAGCCAAACTGCACCACCAGGTACGTCAGCTCAACTTTTATGTCAGAGCGGCTCGCCAGGCTGGAGGTGCAAATGGAAGATTCTGGCCACAGGGAGCGATAGGGGCTGGGTGGCCTTTCATTAACCCTGTAAAAGGGTCATTTTAGCACATACTGGCTCAAAAAAATGATTAAAAAATAGGAAAACGTTGCAAAGTATCCTTTTAACTGCAACTCAGATTCTCCTCAATGAGTCGTAAGACGTTTTAATGAACGGCTGGAATCCACAGCATTTGTTGGCCATAAATCTTACATTTCTAATAAGCTAAAACATTTTCTTTGTCTCCGTTTTTTCCCGCCCTACAGATATCTCGTGTTTCTGCAGGTTAAGAGGGACCTTTACCACGGCCGCCTTCTGTGCAAGACATCAGACGCAGCTCTACTGGCTGCCTACATATTACAAGGTGTGATACATGGGTGATATTTATCTTTAATACTTTAGTTTCTCCTAAATCCTGATACACCATAATCACTTTCTGAGCGTGCTTCGATGATGCAGATTAGTGCTGCTCTTAATGTTTGATGGTTAATAAATTCATCTACAAAATGAAGATTTTAACTTTAATAGGCAGCATGTTCTGTAGTTTCATCCTAAAAACAGACTGATTTTAATCCCTTTGGTGCAGAAAGATGGAGTGAAAGAGTCAGTGTGTGCCAACTGGTTATCCGGCCAGGATTTAGTCTCCCAGTTCTGTTCTCACTGTGTCCCTGCAGCATCTGCTGCCACACAGGAAGGGTTTAGCTAATAATGGTGTGTGTTTACAAATGATGATTGTTAACTCAAGCCCTTGTTAGTATACAGATTTTACAGGTGGGATGACAGTTTGGTGAGAGAAAAGAAAACCAAAAGAAACTAAAAGAGTCCCGATTTTGCTTCGGCAGACGTGTTTCTTGCTTTGTGTCGGGACTTTATAAACCTGTAACGGTATGAAATGACTGTTTTCACCAAAAGTCATTTTCCCCTCTCCTCTGATGCAGGACTAGTCTGCATGAGATGTGGCCTCAAGGTCTCATGCATTCCTTCTAACCTGCTTCTTTCCAGCTCAAGAGAAGAATGAAGAATGGACTCTCTCCTTTCAATAAATCAAAGAACTCTATTTTAATAAAGCTAATCAAACAAAGTGTTAGTCAATAATAAGATGTGACCAATCTGTGAAATCAAAATATTAATTACTTTATTATAATCCTATATAATATAATTAGTAATATGACTTTAAATGTTTCCACAAGGACCAAGGGCGTCAGACGTCAGTTTGTTTTCAGAATTGCTGGGGACAATAACCATACACTTGAGTGGGGTTTAAAAATTGCTGGGGACAATAAAGTAGGCTAGCACAGGGGTCGGCGGCTCTGGAACCGCATGCGGCTCTTCCATCCATCTGATGCGGCTCTCTGTGCGTGTGAAATAATGAATGGATATTTAAATAAAAAGCTTTATATTTTACTGCATTAATTTTACATCTGTAAGCCAATTCTAAATGTAAAGATTGTCTGCGTAAACCTGAACAGTTCCAACCCGGTCTTACTGTGAGACCGGGTTGATGCGTCACGCTTGTGCATAATCATAGGCGCTTCTGAGCTGCTTTCTGACCTTCCCCACCTACAAAGTTTAATTACAACAATCAAACGTGACAGAGCCCGGATTTGTATTCTGAACAGTCTAAACATGTTTTAAAAAGAAACGTAGGACAAAAGTGGCACCTGCTCAGTAAAACCACCAACAGGGTGAAAAATACCAAAAATTGAAGGCGGAGACAGGCTACAACTTCTGGATGGATCCATTTTATATAAATCGTTTTATTGATTATCGTCTAATGAAAGATAATTAAGACGTACATGAGCGATCAGGCACGTTGCAAGCTTTTCAAAGGTGTGGGGGATGTTGTCTGTGCCTAAAATAATTTCATGTTATTCATCTTGTTAGTTTAATTTCCGTAATAGCGGAGCAGGTGCGAATTTTAGACGCGTCATGCACGTCTCCGTTTCAAACATGTTTAAACTGTTCAGAATACAAATCTAGGCTCTGTCTCGTTAGATTGGTGTAACTAAAGTTTGTACTGAATGAAACTTTACATTAAACCATGTTGAAAAGTAAAGGATCCGATTAAATAGTTTCCCCCTCATTTACAGTCAGTACAGTGCAGTGCGCACGGCTCTGGGGTTAATCAAGTTTAATTGGAACATTAATGTGTTACTGGACACGCTGGTCTGGTTGGTTAGACCAGTGTTTGAAGTGGAAAACACACACACACACACACACACACACACACACACACACACACACACACACACACACACACACACACACACACCAATTAAAATAATGCTGATAGCGTGGACTAGAATACAGGTGATGGTTTACGTATTTAAATGATGATCAGGCTGCTGTAAAATGTAATCTCCATCCACATCCAGACACAATCATCCTCTATTCTTTCTCTATTTGCTCTGTTTTGTCTGGGCTGACGTAGCTGATGGTGCGCGCGGCACGCCTAACTAGCGGCTGATGCACATTTTACGCATTTGGAGAGGTGGACTGGATGCTTTGCTTTTACTGGAAGTTGGTCCACTTAACGCACGGTTGTAGACTAAATATTAATGACAAATGAATGAAAATTAAATTGTGAGTTTTTACTTCATATTTTAGAAATAAAAATGAGGGGGGAACACATTTATGACGTCTTTTTAAACTAAATTTTCTAGCGCGACCTGCCTGCTTCACTTAAGTCACTGCTTATTAAGGTCCGTCCAAAATTACCGTGGCCCATCCAAAAATGAAAACCTGGCGCCGCGCCAGTTATAAACCTCTGCAAATTGTTGTTCTTCAATTTATCAAACTCAGACGTTGTACAGCTAATGTCAAGATGTAAAATTATGAATTCAGTCGAGCTCTTCCGTCCCTCCCTCTCCTGCTCTCCTGGAAACCCGACATCGGCTGGGAGGTGAAGGAGGAGATGAGGCAAACAGAGTGAGTGCGACGTAAAGAATCCAGACTGGTGTGGAGGTGAGCAAAACAGCTGGAAAAGTGTGGGTGTTGTCCCCCACGGGTGCGATGCCCCCGGCTGCTGTCACCTGTTGTGAGCAGCGCTCTGCTGTCTGAGGGTAGGCCCCGCCCACAACGCTGCGGCTGCTGCGGTGTTTTCTTTACCGTGGGAAATGGGTAATAATGGCCCTTTGATGGGAACAGGTTACCGACCCCTGGTATAAGATCTGAGCTGGTAAAACAAAAATCCTCATCAGCAGGCTTTTTTGAAAGTGGGGGGGACACAGCTGCCAATCACGAATTTTGCCGGGGACATGTCCCCGGCGTCCCCGGTTAAAATGACGCCTGTGACAAGGACTGATCTCACGTAGCGTTAAGAGACGACACATTGCTTTACTGATCCAATCAGAATCTGCCAGATCTGATGGAGGCGTGGTTTTGGTGGTGTTTGGTAAATCTGTCATCTTTTCATTCGACCATAAACCATAACATCCGAAGTATAAAACTATGCCCACGTCATCTCTAACGCCAGCTCAAAGCGTTCTAGAGAAGTTGTCGGAGTGGCCAATCCGTAACTTTCCTCTTCAGCCCAAAGAACCAACGACAAGCTGGATAAAATCTGTTGCTGTTCCAACTGCTGCAACGTTCCTTTCAGAATAAAAGCTGAACCATCACGACCCAGGTTTGGGTCTCACTAGATGCCAACAAAACTGTCGTGACCCGGGAGTATCTCAGAGACTGGTGGTCGGCTGCCGCGGCTGTTCTACAGGCTCCGGCTCCAGAAGGTCAAGCTGGACCTTTGCACCTCCTGATCTAGACGGGGGTTTCCACAAGGATACGTAGACCGACAAATGGCACTGAATGTGTTTATGGACCTCCTAACCAAAGCTTAACGCGAAGACATCACCTTCATTTCCCATCAGAACTAATCGCTTCTTCGGATTTGCTGGTTCTGAGCAACATTCCACACTACACCATTCGCCGTCTCATCCACCTTAGTTACACCACACATTTAGTGTTAAAGTTAGTCTAGTTTTAATTTGTTTAGTAATAAATCTTTAAACTTTTAAATTGACTCTCTCTCTTCTGTTGTCTCTGAGTTAATACGAAGCTGTTATCTAATCCCTGCAATAAAAAGTTCCAATCTTCTGGTTAAAATAACCTCACAGATCCGTAAGGTTGATTTCATATTTCCTATGGAGTCCCACGCCTTATGACTTATTAAATAACATGTAACTTAAATCATTACAAACCTAATCACGTAGAAACATGCTTGTTGAAAACGTCTATGGCAGATGTTCGATGCATTTCTGAATACAGCCCTTAGCAGCTGCTGAGGATGAAAGTTTCATCTGTAACTGATTGTCTGAAGATAACAGGCTGCAGCAGCTTTCATTCGGATAATTCCTGTGTGAAGAGCACCATCACCCATGTAACAGATGTGAGTAACTCCAGGCTGGGCTGCATGGTGGCGCAGTTTGGAGCATTGTTGCCTTACAGAGAAAGGGTTGCTGGTTTGAATCCTGCCTGCACCATTTCCTTGAGTGCTCATCAAAGAACAACTTGGTTTTCATCAGAAATTTCTCTTAGAAAAAATAGTTTCCTGGCATTCATGAGAAGGTGAAATACTTTTGTTATTACGGATATTTTCCAACGAGAAACAGAATACTTCTTCTTTTTGAAATATGATCAGTCACCGAGTTTAACATGAAGGCTGAACGTGAAAAGTCTTCTACCCCTATTTCCTGCATTAGCCGCCAACAGACGGAGAAACGCTCGGGCCAGAAAAAGCCATGCAGTTCTACATCACAGTGAAAATTAACATTCATGGACTCACCCATCTTAGTTCACGAGCAGGAAAGGCTGTGGTGTTTTTACAGCCAGGAAAGCGAAGAGCGCCTCTCAGCTAGCAGTGTTGGGCAAGTTACTTCAAAACTGTAATGCATTATTTATTACTTGTTACCCTCATTTTAAAGTAATTCATTACATTACAATATTACTGATTTTAAAATGTAAGGCATTACACTACTTTTGCATTACTCTAAGTTACTTTCACCAAAACAACTTCAATATGAATCTGGTAGTCTGACACTCAGTGAGCTCATGACATAAATGTGGAAGGTGATGTGGTGTCTGAGCTAGGGTTGCTGTTAAAAACAGTCAGATATAATTACTTTTGTACCGCACTACTACCAACACTGTCAGCTAGTAAAAGATAATCATTAGCGTTAGCAACTCCACAACATGGCAGAACTCCTTCAGGCTTGTTTTGTTTCTGGAGATAAAATAATGCTGCATTTCTTACCCAAGAAAGAATTGGCAAACGAATGAAGGCAGCAGAAGAGTTAGCCAATCAGAAGTGAAATCTTTGCACATTATGAGTAAGTCTCCAAATCCTGTCATTTTCTGCCCCCTACTCTTCCTCCCAAATTCTACTTCTTGAAACAGGAGCGCCAGAGCTTTTTTTCCACTCAAAATGATTCACAAGGCACTTGTTTATACTAGACTACAGCAAATGTATTAATGTGGCTAATGTATGGTCTCTTTAAAACAAGAACAAATCCCAGCCATTCCTGCAACAACTCTACTTAAAAGCATAGAAATCTCCACCAATTGTTTTGTGTTCCCTTTTCCATCTTTCACCAGCTGAAATTGGCGACTACGACCCCGGGAAACACCCAGAAGGTTACAGCTCTAAGTTCCAGTTCTTCCCCAAACACTCAGAAAAGCTGGAGCGGCGGATTGCAGAGATCCACAAGACTGAGCTTATGTAAGGTGACGCCTGTCCAGAGTCTTTTGGAGCAGAGTACTCCTGACAAACACGTGAACGCCAGTTTTGCCTCTTTTACTCAGACTGTTGTAGCAGCTGCTGAGTCTCTTGGAGACATTGGTGGTATTTTGCTAATGATGGTGAAGCAGCTGTACCTGAAAACACGTTAGCTTCCAGTAGATGAACAACACTGAGGGAATACAAAGAAATGGGAGTGACATAAGCGTCAGATGGTGGATTGTAGCATGTCACTTTAAATCTGTTATGGCAAATCTGCAAACAAGCTAGGTTTTGAACGCAAACATGGTCACGGAACACTCACTCCTCCCCTCAGGTATTTTCCCTGACACCCTTCTGCCGAAATCCCTCCATGCCGGACGAAATGAGATAGCGCTAAACAACAGTCGCCGTTTTCTAGGTCTAAATGTATTTTGTTACTTCAAATGGCTGTTTCTCGTTCTCTGTGCGGGAAAGGGCGAGTGAGGGAAAGATGGAGCGTGAGATCAATAGGCAGATTGGTGCTGCGTCTGCAGTGATGCGGGTGTTGTACCGATCTGTCGATGTGAAGAGAGAGCTGAGTCAAAAGGCGAAGCTCTTGATTTACCGGTCGATCTACGTTCCTACCCTCACCTATGGTCATGAGCTTTGGGTAGTGACCGACAGAACGAGATCGAGGATACAAGCGGCCAAAATGAGTTTTCTCCGAAGAGTGGCTGGGCTCTCCCTTAGAGATAGGGTGAGAAGCTCGGTCATCCGTGAGGAGCTCATAGTGGAGCTGCTACTCCATATCGAGAGGAGCCAGTTGAGGTGGCTTGGGCATCTGGTCAGGATGCCTCCTGGATGCCTCCCTGGTGAGGTTTTCCAGGCACGTCCAACTGGGACGAGACCCAAGAGAGACCCAGGTCATGTTGGAGGGACTGTTTCTCTCAGCTGGCCAGGGAGCGCCTTGGGGTTCCCCTCAAAGAGCTGGCCTAAGTAGCTGGGGAGAGGGAATTCTGGGCCTTTCAGCTTAGGCTGCTGCTCCCGCGACCTGACTCCGGAAAAGTGGCTGAAAATGGATGGATGGATGTTGGGGTTTGTTGTTATACAAACACCGTTTAAACTCATTCCTCCCAGTCCATGAACGCGTCGTTTCCAAACAGCAAATAACATTATTTTTTCTGATTAATCAAAACAAACCCAAATCTGCATTTGAGTGAAGGATATGAAATTGGTATCGGCCTTTGGAACTTGAACTGGAGCATCTCTAGTAAGAGAATCTGTTAAGAATGTGACCCAAAGTATCTTCAGATTTCCACTAAAATGTCAGAATTCCACCAGTGGATGCCCTCAGCCTTTTCATATGGTCTTAATCTGACAAAGCCTCAGCTTCGTTCAGAGCTTTGGTTTAAATTTATTTTGCATTGTGTCATTTTAAAGATTTAGTGTTGTTTGTCTTGCTCCATTTCATGTAATGAGTCATGCAAAAACCAGTCCTGCACCGTCCCCTGTTGCACAATTCCTTCTTGAATTATGACTCAGCATAAAAGACACCTTTCCTACTCTGTAATCTTGACTAAATCGGTACATAGTTGACGTCAACTTGACATAATTATGTACTAGTTTCTCAGGATGAAAACCACTACTGTGCATTTGTTTATTTGTTTCATTAGAGGTCAGACTCCTGAAACATCAGAGCTCAACTTCCTCCAGAAAGCCCAGACTCTGGAGACATATGGAGTGGATCCTCATCCATGCAAGGTGAAACAAAATTGCTACAGAGGAAATGATAAAGCATCTTTTATCAGTGAAGAGAATGGATCTTTTTATGGTGACTGATTTTTATTTTGTGTTTTTATGGTCAGGATGTGTCCCGGAATCCAGCTTTTCTGGCTTTTACCCCTTTTGGATTCACTGTACTGCAAGGAAACAGGAGGATTCATTTCCTCACATGGTGAGAACAGATCTTCTGATGGAAATTCTCGATCCAGCTCTGGAATCATAACTTTTTGAATCCTTAAAGGGACTTTATGGAGTTTTGAATTTTTATGCTCGCGATTGCCCCCTCAGGCCAAAAATCGTAACGGCAGCTTCAATAGTAGGCTCGTGCACGAGGCGCGCATGCTGTACGTGCACACTCCTTAACGAAAACAGCTGAGACAGTCCTGTGTGTGTGTGTGTGTGTGTGTGTGTGTGTGTGTGTGTGTGTGTGTGTGTGTGTGTGTGTGTGTGTGTGTGTGCGCGCGCGTGTGTGTGTGTGTGTGTGTGTGTGTGTGTGTGCGGCCCAGAGGACAGGGGAACACGCAGCTAATTAATTAAATAATTTGGTTCTGTACCTTTCTCTTCAGCACAGCCGACAAAGGTTTAAGATGGGTCAGTCCTCCTGCATGCTCAGATCATTCCCTTCCCTTGCTTGAAAATTTGTTCCAAAATGAAAGTTGAACCCAAATCTTTTTTATCTGTGAATTCAATGCCGTTCGGCGAGTGTCAAATACAAATTTGGGCATCTTACTGTAAAAAAATATACCATTAATGTAAAAAATAAACTCTAAATAAATATTGTTCACATCCAGAATCTAACCCAGATCTTCCGCACGAGTCCGACGTCTTATTAGATGAGCTAAAGCGCCATTAACGGCTTATGCATCTGTAACATTTATATCCTTGATGACAGCTAAAACAACGTTCAAAGAACGGTTTGGAGTGAAAATGGCCATTTTGTTGCTAATTTGCAGGAAATATCTAGAAGAAAGTAGCTAAGGGTCCTCAGAAATGTAGCTAGCTTTGTCACTAGGCATTAGGAACAGCGACAAAGTGGCACTACCTCTCTCTCTGCTGCTAAAGATAGCAAATGCTACGGGCTATGCCTGAGCGTGAACGCGCATGAAGCAGCTTGCTCGACCCGAGCATCTCTCTTTTTCTATGATTTTACAGAAAAACAGGCAATCACAGTAAAAATGCCAGGGCTCATTCTACAGGACCAGGGCATTGCAGGAGAACGTATGAAGAAGAAATTTATTATTTCTGTACATGTTTTGGCTGTCAAACTTCCATAATGTCTCTTTAAGCATAAAAATGACTTTTTACTAATTACTTATTCTGTCCTTGTCTAAATTCCCTTCTTGTAACTCTTTCTTTGATTTCTCTCCCTTATTTGTCTTGGTATGTCTCCATCTCTTCCTCAGGGAGGAGGTGACCAAACTCAAGTTTGAAGCAAAGACGTTCCATATATATGCAACTCAGAGTGAGGTACGAATCTGATTAAATTCATTTGTGGCATTCTGTAAGGTAAACAATTGCTGCTACACTGGTTTATAAAACAACTTCCTGCTGGACGTTCAGCTTTTAAAAATAAATGCTAAATTTTACAAGAATAATTAAAATAAACGCATTTATATTGTTATTCAGAGCCTTATGTATTTGTGCTGTTTGCTGTTGTTGAAAATCTCTGACTTTTCGCATGTGTGGCTTTAAAACTATTGTCACGTTAACCTCCTGCAGGACAGGAAGATTATCCTGACTTATTTTGCACCGACACCAGAAGCCTGTAAGCATCTATGGAAGTGTGGAGTTGAGAATCAGGCCTTCTACAAGTGAGTCCACACTTGCCATGCAAATGAATGTAATTACGGACAAAACGGATTTTAGCAGAGGTTTATGCTTATGATCAACACCCTTCCCACTCACAGGTTGGAGAAATCAAGCCAAGTCCGCACTGTGTCCAGTAGTAATCTCTTCTTTAAGGGTAGCCGCTTTAGATACAGGTAACAACCATGCAGGTTTTTTATTGAACGAGTCTCAGAAATCTTGGTGATCTCAGATCATCACCTTTTTTTTTACTCTGTGTTTTTAGTGGAAAGGTTGCAAAAGAAGTGATGGAACAAAGTGCCAAAATTAAAAGAGACCCACCGGAGATCCACAGGTCACAATTATTACACTAATTGAATGTCACACTTATGATTCAGTATTTGAGCATATGTATGTGTGTGCATGTGAGTACAACCTTTTTATTCTTGTCCTAGGGCTGGCATGGTTCCCAGCAGAAGTTGTCCATCAATCACACACGGACCTCGCCTGACCAGTGTGCCAAGAACCCGCCGACGAGCCGTCCACATCTCCATAATGGAAGGTAAACGAACACAATAAAAAATGATTACATCTAAAATAAACTTTTGCCATCAATATTACTATCAGTCAATTTTTTTCTAACATATATCAGTCAGATGAGTAAAACTGGGCAGATATTAACAACCGATATTTATTACCATCAAGTTGCCATTTGCGTATCTGTTTTTGGAAGGAGTGGGGGTGTCATGTGATAAATATTTGGTCGTAATCATCTCAGAAGTGAGTGTGAATTTAAATATGTCTATCTATCTACTTATATCTATCTCCATATCTGTCTATCTATCTATCATCTATCTATATAGCTATCTATATCTCTATACAGTGATCCCTCGCTACTTCGCGGTTCGTTTATTGCGGATTCACCACTTCGCAGATTTTTTCTTTGGATCCTTATTCAAGGGAAATTCGCCGATTCGCGGTATTTTTCACCGATTCGCGGTATTTTTCTGTCATGTTTTGGGGTAAGTGTCTAACCCAAGACATACAGAATCAGACTCGAGTCGAGGTAAAAGATAAACAATTTTATTTCTTTAATGATGAGGAGAACTGAGGGCGCACTGGTGATCCAGCGGAGGCCGGGTAAACCAGGAAGCGGCAAAATACGGAAGCTCAGGGTGAATGTGGAGGGGAGTTAAGCCGGGGTGATATCCAGAAGCGAACTGTAGATCTCCAGGTGGCAGGGTAGACGGATGAGGACGAGGTAACGGAGAGGGAGCGTGAGCACGGTGGAGAGCGGGACGGCAGAGCAGAGTTGGTATCCAGGCAGCGAACCGGTGAGTATCCAGAAGTCTCCAAGACGGGAGGGAATCCGTAGGAGAAGCGAGTCAGGCAGTAGTTAATCATCCGGCGTCGTATCTTCTTCTTCTTCTGGGGTTTAAATGGCAGTTGGCCGGCGTCGTATCTGGATAACCGTCCTCCTTTTAAAGCCGTCCCGCTGATCAGGCTGATGAGGATCAGCTGCGCTCCCTCTCCTGTTAAATAAACACTGTAAATATGGTGTCCCTACTTCGCGGATTTTCACCTATCGCGGCCAGGTCTGGAACGCATCTACCGCGATAAACGAGGGATCACTGTATCTATCTATGTCTATATCTACCGTAAATCCTCTAATACAGGCCGGTATTCAATTAAAGGCCGGGTCTCCAATTTTGGCCAGTGTCTGAGTCGGCGGAGGTGAATAATGGCCGGTCTCTTATTGTGGCCGGGTGGAATGTGGTAACAAGCAAGTACGGGGGGTGGTTGTGTCATTGTCTCACTTTTGATTTGCCAGTGATAGACCGCGAGGGTAACTTTAACCGTGCGGAGACGAAAATTTGATATCAAGTTCAAAGAGAACGTGCGCTGCAGAACACTGGGGAGCAGTAGGGGTTGTATGAACTAGTCGACTTCACTATAGTGACTTTTTATGCCTGTCATCGACAAGTCGCTGTCATGTGATAATGACCGGCAAGATGCAGCCCTCGGAAAAGACAGCAGCCTGCCGTCAGCAGGTGACAAGCTCCTGCGCTCGGGGGGGGCAACGCGCTGTGCCAGAGCGTCGGTACTGACACACGATCGTTCATGTCGGTTCATTTCCTTTAATGTTTTCTGTCTTTTATTTGCGCCTGATGTGTTTAGCTGCTGTGGAGCGGGGCGCATTACCTTGTCCTCCGGTGACCCACCGATCACTGATGCGGCCGCCAAGCAGCGAGCACTCCGCTGTTTTTGCGGTCGGTAGATCTGCATCCTGAGCACGGCCACAGTAACATTATCAAATCAGGTGTCGCCACCTCAAAAACTAATTTAATGCTTGCGATCGTTCATGTCGGTTCATTTCCTTTAATGTTTTCTGTCTTTTATTTGCGCCTGATGCTTTTGGAGCGGGGCGCATCACCTTGTCCTCCGGTGACGCACTGATCACTGATGCGGCCGCCAAGCAGCGAGCACACCGCTGTTTTTGCGGTTGGTAGATCTTTTAGAACTGCAGCTCAAAGGTAACTCATAAGGTGAACATATATGAACCCAGGTAGCAGTTTCTCTTTAGGATTGAGAGGAGATGCAGGAAGATAATAAACAGACAGGACAGAAAAATAGTCAAATAGGGTTAGGGTTAGTTTTTGTACCTGCTGGTTGCAACAAACAGACACCTTTGAAGGTAATCAGAAGTGAGGAACAGAAAATGAAATAATTATTTTAATGTTTAGAGCAGCAGGAACTCTAAGAGGCTGCAGGCGCATCAGTGAGTTTGCGGCCGCTGCGCAGGGGGAGGGGGGAGAGGGCTGAAGCAGAAACTACCGTTGTTAAAAGAAATGTGTTTAACTTTGAAAATGTGGGCGCAATTTTAATTGTCAAAAACTCCAGCGAACCATTAGTTCATTTTGCTCAAATAGAAATAGAGGCCTGCCTCTAATTCTGGTCCTCCTTCCAAAAAAGGCCTGGAGCTTGATGAGCTTGAGTCAAATACAGGCCCGGGCCTGTGTTAGAGGATTTACGGTATCTATCATCTATCCATCTATCTATGTCTATATCTATCTATCCATGTCTATATCTACTTATATCTACTCTATCTATCTATCTGTCTGTCTATCTGTCTGTCTGTCTATCTATCTATCTATCTATCTATCTATCTATCTATCTATCTATCTATCTATTTATCTATCTATCTATCTATCTATCTATCTATCTATCGAAAAATTTCCAGAATTTTCACAAGGCTGGGTTTTACTGATCACTTGTTTAACTCCGTAACATGAAATCAAGGTTAATAATATAACTTGGATCACAAAATCTTCTGTTTTACTAAAACTGGTTGAAGCCAAAGTGAATACACCCTGCAACAAAAACTACTACATCTAGTATTTTGTATGACCACCGTGATTTTTATGGCCAACACCAAGTCCTTTAGGCATGGAATGAACAAGTTGGCGACATTTTGTATCTTTGTCTCGTCATTCCAGAGTCTAGTCCCAGTAGTCTTCATCTCTTTCAGCATGGGCCCTAGCCAATCCTAGATGTGCTTTGTTGTGCACGGGTTTTAGGAGAGGCTTCCTTCGTGGACGATACCCATGCATGCCATTCCTCTGCAGTGTGCGCCGTGTGGTGTCACGGGAATCGGGTCACTCCAGTTTGTCTTTCTACTGCTTTAACTAACTGCAGTAAACTTGCATGGCGATTTTTATCAACGCCTAATCAGAAGACGCTCCTGTCGAGATGTTTACTTCTCGACATATATTTATATGCATGGTGACGCAGTTGTTATCACTGTTGCCTCGCAGCAAGCAGGTTGCAGGTTCGAAACTCAGCTGCAGCCTTTTTGCATGGAGTTGCATGTTCTCCCCATGCATGCATGGGTTCCCTCTGGACATTCCGGTTTCCCCCACAGATCACAACATGCCCTATAGATTAACAATTGAAAGTTGCTTTGGATAAAAGCGTATGCCAAATAAATAAACATAAAAATGCCTTGAAAAACTCAATTATCTTTGGGTTAGCATATAGCTAATGTCCCGCTGATCTCCAACCGTGGAGCATGAGCTGATGTTAAAGGCCATGGCGCCCAGCTACAATTGCAGTGGACTGAGGCTCTGCTTGTAATTTAACAGTCCCAGTCCATATTATATCTCCACAGGCAACCGGCATGACTACAGCCTCGCACAGACGCCAGGCTGTCGTGCGAATTGGCTACCCTGGAGCCCTTCTTCGCTTCTTGGACTAGATGACTCAGCTATTAGCTACATTGGTTAATTTGTTCCAACCCTGTTCCAAACGTAAGACCCCCATCCTCAGCTCCACCTCTTTTCCCATTTTTGAATTGTCTGGGCGTGACAAGACATGTGACACGGTAAAAAAAAATCAGTGTTGGGAACCTCCTATTTTTGGCTTAAACCTGCCGCTCACGGAACAATGGGTGGGCTATGTCCACATTTTTCATATGTCAATGGTTTTTACGTTTTACGTCATTTTGGAAGGAGTTGGGGCAGACTGGAACAGTAACTCAGAAGGGGAATTTAACACCAACCCAGCGCAGACTATAGTATTCCTGCCATCTCCATTCGAGCGAGGATTAGCGGCTTCAATCCCCAACACGAAATCTCCGAGCAGGGTGGGGTGGTAATGCGATCTGCCGAGCAGACCAGTTTGGTAGCCAGGCCACCAGCAAATGTCCTGCTTCTCCTGATGGCAAGTCCACCACTGGAAGGGGTAATACAGTAATAGCTTTGTTTAATTGCTTAGCATAAGAATTTCCTTGATAGTGGAGTTTCCAAATTCCTCCCAAAATCCCTGAAAGATTTTATCCCCCATTTTTTATTTAAAAGGTTTCACTGGATAGTTACTGTTTGTCTATCATCCATTATTGCTGCGTATTCATCAAATTTTCTGGTTGTTTAAGCCACAGACATATACGGTGCCTATTGGAGCTGCCATTGTGGCAGGCCACCATCTTGGATGGGTCTGCATTAGCCCCAAACTATAATCCACTTTTTATTAAGTTTTATCACAAAACAAGACTTATGGTATGGTATGACAGTTAAAATATAAATATAGTCAAACAAAATTCATTAAAATATAAAATCCCAACAGATGGGCAAGAAAAGTTCCATGTAACTTGTTTTCAACACTGATTGTTGTTACCATAGACTGTACAAAAAACAGGCATAGTTGTTCACTCGGCATTGATTCCAGCTGGTTTTGGAGAGTGAGGGACCCATCCAATACGGTAGCAATGCTGTTACACTCTCCGGCGACCAATGGTGCGTCTACGTATTTCCGTCTATGGTTTAAGCTACATTCACAAGAACAGACTTAGAGGCTAGCTCTTCATTAGCTTCCCCTAAATACTGACACATCTAACATCACTTTAATTTACCAAGCTTAAAAAATATTTAGGATGACATCATGTTCTTGTTTTTTGAAGCTGGTTTAAATACAGCTAAGTATGTTTGTCGTTGTTGCCAACATTAGCTAGCCCTCCCATTGTGCTGGGGTCACTGTTCTCCATGTGATTAGTTCCACTATTGATCAGTCTTTTCTAACACATCTTAGATTTTAATGCATTTGTGAGTGGACTGCAGTAAGTACCTTCCATATTATCAACCCCTCTGCTTATAAGTGTCACTAATTTTCCCCGTCTCTCTCGTGGTCGTGTGTGTTTAGACAAATAAGTGCCGATCAGACACCGTCCTCAGGCTTCCTCTTGTCAAGAGAAAGTCTGGCGGTTTATAAAGAGCACTTACTGTCCCCACTCTCCTCCAACTGGCTATTAACCTTTTTCCAGTGCTTCCTCTGAGAGTTGGTTTACTCTCAGCTGATCAAACTAATAAACTTTTAGTAAGTCTATTCACAGCTACAGATTAAGAGTCTTTTGTCCAACTAGCCCTCCTCTTGCCTTGAACAGAGATGTGATGTATTACTCCAATATTGCAACAGCAACGTAAACCCCCTGTGTTTCATATTGTTGCTCTTTCTGCCCTGGTAATAATATCTCTGCCTGAAAATAGCTCCTGCTGTCAGAGGTCACACTGCCTGTGCAACAGCTGACAGCAGGGAGGAAACAAAGTGAAGTGCAGGACAAGAGGACAGTGTTCCACTGTTCTGTCTTTCACTCTTACTCTGGTCCTACTTGTCCTGTCAGCGTCCCCACTGCATAAGAGCAGCCCAACAGAAATGGGACAATGACCTCTAAGAGGATAAAAGACAGAAGAGGCTGATTGGGGCACAGAAACTTTAAAAGCACCACATTTGTGCTATGATTAAGCTTGTTTGTTTGTAGCCGAGTGGAATCATGGTGAAGTGTCTCATCAAGATCAAGACCAAGGTGAGCGTCCACTTGCGTATGATCAACCATTGCTATCGGGATGTCAACGTGCAGGTACTTTCCCTGGGACCCAAGCTCTTGGGCAAAGCTCTGGGGGTTCTGCCGCTCTACCCAGCCTTCCCTGGAGGATCTTCTAACTTGGACTCAGGTTCTGAGTCAAGACAGGACTCTAGAAGCCCCTCTAGGTTATCTGTCCCATCTTCAGTCTTTGGTCGACCAAAGGACAACTGTGCAGGTAAATAATTTAAAAGCTAAAGAAGCTGCATGGTGCTTTCCCTGGGTAAGAGTGGGTGTTCTCTGGGTATATTGGTCTTGGGTGTGGGAAAGAATGGCTGGTTGTCCCTACACGGCGCTCTGATGGACCACTGACCTGTCAAATGCCAAAACACCTTATGAATATGCGTTTCTATGGTAACACGCATACAGCATTTATGAAGTCTGTATCCTGTAAAATCATTCTGACAGACGAATGGCCCATCTGTGTTTCCAGGTTTGGAGTCTCTGCGAGACAGTGCCCACTCCACGCCTGTGCGCTCTGTCTCCCATGGCGACTCCTTTATGAGTTCCCGGGGCCAGATGGATGACGGCAGCGAGGCGAGTGTGTCGGCAGTCATCTCCGACGAGACCTACAGCCCTTCAGACAGCGTGCTGCCCACGCCGGTGGCGGAGCACGGGATGGAGATGCCTTTAGCCCGTCACCTCAACGGGGCGCCCTGCAGCATTGATGAGGAGAAGGAGTCAGGGGCTATGAGGGAGGGGCAGGCAGAGTCGGGGCCCAGCAGGAGGGCACTGCGTAAAGTCAGGAGCAAGCCTTCACCATCCAGTGATGTAGAGGAGCTGAACAAGTTCATCTTAAGTGTGCTGCGCCTGTTTCTGGTCACCATCGGACTGCTGTTCGCCCTGCTGCTGCTGCTCATCATGCTGACCGAGTCGGACCTGGACATCGCCTTCTTGAGAGACATCCGCAAGACCCCCGAGTTCCAGCAGTTCCACTTTGAATATTTCTGCCCCTTGCGGCAGTGGTTCGCTTGCAAGTTACGATGGATGGGGGGGTTTCTCGTCAGCAAATGAGAGCGACTAAACCCAGAGGCGGGGCACAGGTCAGCAGGTGGGGCAGAGGAAACGTGACTGCCTTGTTAATAAAACCGGCTTCTCCCAGGAAACATTTAACAAATCCTGTCACAAGTCACGAACTCTTTTGTCACATCTTGTTTTAGCTCGCCTCGAGGTAACTTTCTTTCACACAGAAACAGGGTTAAAATGGAGCCGTGTCTTATAGACTTCACTATTCAGCCAGAGATGATAAATGCCTTTATTTTTAAATGTATTCATACATTAGCATTGCTGTCGCAGGGGAAACACATCTAGTTTGGGTTTGTTTCACACAAACAGAATTTAGATCAATGTTCTGGGAGAAACCAGCCGAACAGCAACATTTCTGATTTATTACAACTGCTGTTTCAGAGATTTGCAGACAGAGGCGCACTGTCGGCTCCAAAGCAACTCTTCACACACACTGTTTACTAGGTGCAGTTTGCTCAACTAGTAAAAAGTAGTAGCAATAGCTTTATGACACAAGTGCGTTCTGGGTGCCTGCACGTGTGACCCATCTGTTCTGTTGTAGAGGGAACTTTGCGTCTGTGTTCGCGATTGTTTTTGTCCTAAAGATGATGAGTGTGTGGTGGGTGTGTGTGTGTGTGTGTGTACTCCAATAGTTGGTGAGTTCATCTTGATGTGCAATAATGTTAATAGATATTGAAGACTGAGATCCTTTCCATTAATTGGAATTTTGACTTTATTGGAGTTTGTAAAATTACAAAATCAGGTTTTTTTTGGACCCTTCTTGAGTGAAACTTTTAGCCCTTCTGTGTTAAAACGTATGCATCTATCTGCAAAGTTACGTGGATTTAACTCGTTTCCATTGTTAAGCAACACATGGAGGTTTTATTCTGGTGGATTTGTCGTTTTTGATCTGAAGATAATTAATGTTTACGTCCTGCAACGTCATCACCAACGAAAGAGCCCTCTGTTGTCGTGAGGCTGTTCTAGCCTTCGGCCTTATTTACTCTGATCTTACAGCCCTCAGCGTGTCGTTACCGCCCTAAAAATACAAGTTTCCAAAAAGGGCTCAGGACGAAAGCGAGTGTAAAAGCTGTGTGTCACATATCCAAAATTAGGGATTACTGAGAGCAAAGGATGATTAATAACTAACAAAGTAATCTACAAAACAAAATAAGTATTTAACTAAATGTTTTTATTCAAGAACTTACACAGATCTAATTGTTTTCACCCTTTAATTAAAAGATAGTGGTTCCTAAATCTGGCAGACATTTATTTTAATTTCTCAGATTTTGTTTCATCTTGTTGATCATGAAGAGTTTAGCCAAGAGCTAAATATACGTTTAATATTTCAGTTTAAATTATCACCACTAACTAGAAAAGTGCAGACACTAAAGTTTGATTCAAACTAAATGCATGAAAGGAACTCCGCTTTGTTCTTGAAGACATTTGCTCTTAAATAAAGCATTTGGGCATCTTGTTCTAATTTTGCTTTGGAACAAATCTTATGCGAGTGAGATGTGAAAGTATTTCTTTTGGCCAACATGCAGCATTTTCTAGTATTCGGAGACTCACTTGTGTGTTATTTTGTTTATATACAGTTTATTTAAGTTGTCTGAACTCGTTTTACACAAACTGACGCGATGAAAGTTGAACTTTTAAGAAACTTTCCCTCTCTGGATCACGTCTTAGACGTGTCCCAACCTTACCTAGGTCCAGCACACCACAGCGTCTCTGTAAGCACGTGTCCTGCATCATTACCTCCAGGCAAGACTTCTTCTAGCAACCATTGAAGACTGGTGTATAATGTATTAATAAATATAATCTATTCTTTTTACCTGGCGGTCTGTTTGCTTTTCAACGTGTCATAAAATCACTGGAATATTGACTTCATTCATGTAAAACAAGCAGGGGGTGTTAACCCTTTAGGCGCCGTAGTTTTTTCGGTAAAATATGAATTTTTTATATCTCTATTTAAAGAGCTTGTAGCTTAAATCTGGTTAGATAGAGGAATATTGTAAATTAGAAAAATCTTCAGTATGAGCCAAATTTGTGATAGGATCAAATTCACTCACATAATTTGCATATTATTACATCATCAGGTGGCAGCCATATTGGATTGCATCACATTTTCAGATTTTTTTTGTTTTTGTCTTTTCTTAGTGTTGTTTGTGATACATATTCTTATGTAGACATGTATGCATGTGTTATTACTTTATTGGTATTTTATTGTGTTTACTGCGTATCAATCAAGAACACTGTTTTTGGTGCTTCAGTGTCATGAACACATTTCACTCATCCCTTCTTTGGTTTATTTTGAGATAGATGCCCCCCCCCCCCCCATGTCTCTTTGCCCGACGCGGAACATCGGACAAGAGAAGGGCTGGATGGGCTGCTTGTGTAACCGTGTCGTCGCTGACGGACTCTCTGATGCTGCGCGCTGAAGCCACGCTTTCCGTCTCGCTAGAAGACGGCAGATCATCCTCGGACAGGAAATATTCTTCCTCTGAATCCGATCTGCCAGTACTAGACAGAGCTTCGTCAGCACTGAACATTCCTCTCGGCATTGTGTTTTTTCCGCTTGCTCGCCCTCACTGACAGCCTCCGCGACTCTGCGAATTGTGGGCGGGGTTCAAGTTCTAAATACTCAAAAGTTTCAATAGTAACACACCAACAAATGCTGCTTGGATTGAAGTTACAGGTGTCTGCCACCCCGCAGTGTAACGTATTAACTGCATGAGGGCTCATTTCTGCTGCTGTGGCTTACTAAATCCAACATTGCTGCATGTCGAAATTCTGCGACTTTGGCGCTTAAAGGGTTAAGTATTTAGTCATTTTTAAATAAAGTAAAACATTCCAACCATTAAGGCTGACAACAGAACTGAAGTGGGAGAAAATTGAATGAAATCTAAATGATAAATGACCCGCACTTGTATAGCGCCTTTGAGTCAGAGGACTATAAAGCACTACAGTGCATCATTCATCCACACACAAACAGGTGGTGATGAGCTACAATGTAGCCACAGCTGCCCTGGGGCACACCGACATAGGCTTTCTAAGCACAGGCTCCACCGGTCCCTCCGACCAGTAGCAGCAGGCAAGGTGAGTTAAAGTGGGAGTCAAGGCATGGGTGGAGACTTATTTCAACCAGACTTCCTGTTAGAGAAAAATACCTGGAAAAAGATGCTGCCTGGAAGACAGACAGAGCGGCACTGAGGCAATGTTTGGCAGCACCCCCCTCAACCCCCTCGTTTGTGCTCTTGGGAGTTTCTCTGTCGGAAAAAACAGTTGTTAACTAGCGCATGCACAATGGCGTGTGCACATGACCATACACAAACGGCAGACTCGCCGTTCAGAAGAGCAGACACAGAAAGTGACTGCAGGAAGGAGGATTTCCAGTTCAGTAGAAAAAAGGAGAGGGGGACGTTTATCTTAACTCATTCACTGCCAGCCGTTTCCTGATCGGTAAAGGCCTTCGCTGCCAGCGTTTTTCACTGCTTTTACTGTTTTTTTAAGAGTCACAGAACGTTGCGCTCTAGGATGATGTCAACGCCAAAACAACCAAAACAAAGCGGAGACTCACCTCTTACATCAGGAAGAATCCGCGCATTTCGAGCGTTATCCGTTCTTTCATAGTCCGTTGTTGAATTGTGATTGGCCGACGCTTTTCCAGTTCGCGCCTTTCTTTTTTTTACAGCAGCGGCCCAAAACGATCTCCTAACAAATGGATGTTCTGCTTCCTGATCACATGACGTGTGATGTATGCGGATGAAGATCGGCTTTAGAGCTGAGATGTTTGTTCTCACGGTGCGGGGGCTCGTCCGACGCCCACACAGTAAGAACATGCAAATGACGGCTTTAGTCATCATTGACAGTGAATGAGTTAAGGAGGCGAGCGTCTCTAAGCGTCAATGTGTCATGTCAGCAGGCAGGAGTAAACTGGCTTTTCTGGCATTCAGGCACTGTCCCAGTGGGTCACTTGCCCAGCTTGGGCCAACCAAAGACCCCAGCGCACGCCGCACCCCCGCTCTCACGTTCGGTGGGACAGACGAGTCCGCAAACAGCGGCAACTCTACCCCCCCCCACTCTGAGGGCCAACGCTCCGTATAAATGCCATGGCCGATGTTGGTCCCAGTCCACTCTTGTCAGCAGGTGAAAGGTGCCAGGTGGATGTGCAGCGAGACTCGGCAGAAATCCAGTACGGTACAGACGTCACCCTGCATGCACTACTGCCATCAGCTGTGGCTGATTCTAAATCAATGTGGAGCAGAGTTTTAACCTGAAGATGGAGATATTACAGTTTTGGGCTGAAATATTACATTTAAAGTAAATTGCACTATAATGGCAAATTGGTGATCACACAAACACACTGCACTATTAACCCTCCCACTGTCTTTATGGGTGACCCCACGAGGAAAGCTGACCATTGAGCAGGATCGATGGTTTATCCCTTGAGGTCCACGTGGCAGGGGTGAGGTGGCGCTCACTCCTCACCCCTGCCACGTGGACCTCAAGGGATAAACCATCAACCCTGCTTAATGGTCAACTTTCATCGCAGGGTCACACCCATTAGGACAGTGGGAGGGTTAAGACGCTCATCTATACAGGTTTTCAGAAGAAATAAGTTAATTTGGGTGTTACTCGCTCTTTAAGCATCTTGCCCAAAAACACAACAGCAGCATTCTCTGGCAGAGCCGGGATCAAGCCTGCAACCTTCCAATTGCTGGACAACCCACTGTACCTCCTGAGCTGCTGCGGCCCCTAAAATACGGAGGAAAAAGGAATTTTGTTTAAAGTTGATTAATTAAAACTGTTTTGCAAAGATATTGTTTGGTTGTTTAATGATGCAACACAGCAAAACACAAAAAGAAAAAAAAAAACGTCAATAAGGAAATGTTTCTCTTTTGCATCGGTTACGTAACAAGGTACCGCTGCACATCAAAACAAAACTTTCCGCTCAGATTAAAAAATAGACGCCAGAATTGAAAACTGTCGGACTTTGAGATGGACGATGCTGCTTTGATTTTGTAAAATTAAATACATTTTTAAATGAGTTGTATCATATCCTGACGTGAAGGTGGGCTTTTACACTGTGACAGAAAAAGATGTGAACACTGGTCTGAAATAAATGTTAATCTGAGGCACATAAAATGCCTCGTCACCAAAGCTACCTCACTCTACAACAGATGTATAATCCAACACGTCATTTAGCTCAGGTACCCATTTAATGTTGCACAAGTCTCTCTCCGTGGTCTTCAGTTCAGCTGAAGACGTGCACACGTCCTGATGCGTTTCCACCCAACAAGGCGTTCCTGGTGGGGTGGAGGGCGGTGACGGACAGCACCGTGTTCAGGTTCTCCTCGTCCGTGAAGGTGTGCAGGTGTTTGCCGCTCTCGTGGAACACCTGCACCCTCCGAGGCCTCATCATGCTCCCCACCACAAAGCAGTCCTCCTGTTTGGGGTCCCACACGGCCGACAGCTTCGACAGCCAGCGGCCTGTCTGCATGTCGTGTCTGCAAACGCCAAAAAAACTCGGGTTGTGTGTTGCTCAAAAATGCAGCCGTGTTACGAGTCGGCCGTGTGGACGTACCTGACGGACTTCAGCAAAGGAGCATTAGAGGATACTAAAGATGTGTCGTATATCCTGTTAAATAAATAAATAAACTTAGGCAGGGGTTGACTAAACAGAACAACTATCAAAACCACTGTGCTTGCTTCACCTGATGTGGTTATCCATGCAGGTGGTGAGGACCCGGTTTCCAGTGGACGGTGAGAAATAAGCGCTTGTGATGCTTAAAGTGTGGCCGGTCAGCTGGGACACTGGCTCGCTTTTGGTCTTCTTCAGGCGCCTGCTGTCATAAATGCCCACTACCCTGCAGAAATATCTACTTAATAACACAACAGTCCAGCTGACAGGAGAGACTAGTGGATTTCTGAGTCGTACCGGCTCTCTGCGACAGCGAAGTACTGCATCTGCAGAGGATGGACACTCACGCAGCGGAGAGTCTTCGGGTCAATGGGGTGGATGGACTCATGAGAGTTTCTGCAAAGGAAATCGTATTCTTACAAATGTCTTATTCATCCAATTATAGGTTTAAAATGCAAGCAGCAGTGATTCTACCCTGGAGTCCGTCGATCAACGATGGCTACCTCTCCAAACCAATTCCCCACCACAAGTGTCGAGCAGTCGTGCGACAAGAAGGCAAACGTTTTCAGGCCATCACTGATGTTATACACCTGCAGAAATGGAGAAACCTGTTACACATACACAGCTGCTAAATAGTATCTGCACCATCAAAATGTTTCGTCTACCTTTGCTTTCTTGCACCTAAAGGTTTTCAAATAACTTCAGCTGAGCCTCCCTGCTAAGGTCTATTCAGGGGTTCTGGGGAGGAGGGTCCATCAGATAATCGAACCTCAGATTCAGGAGGAGCAATGTGGTTTTTGACCTGGCCGTGGAACACCAGCTCTATACCCTTAGGGGGGTCCTGGAGGGTGCGTGGGAGTTCGCCTAACTAATCACGTGTTTTGTGGATTCGGAGAAGGTGTTCAACTGCGTCCCTTAGGAGGATCTGTGGGAGTACGAGGTAGCAGATCTAACTGGCTCCATCACCTAGAGACTGTGGTCCCCTAGACTCACTCTATCAGTGTTTGGAGCAAGTTAAAGAGCGGGTCAATTGAGCCTCAGAGTCCTTCTCCACCCACGTATCAATTTTAAAAAATGCAACATTAGTAGGCGTTGCCTGGAGGACCGAGAGGGCGGAGCCGCGGCAGTGACGAAGACGACGGCTAACTAGACGATGCTAGCTCCCTTCACTCTATGCAGTTATTAGAAGTGGAGGACGTTTCTCCCCCTCCTTACCCAGACACTCGAGAAGAAAGGGACCAAGTCTATTTGGAGGAGACAAGCGGACCTGAGCCTTATTGTTGTGAGCTTGTGAGTTGCCTGTAACTCCCAGAACCGACCCAACAGAACCACCTCTGAACGTAAGTAGCCGTTAGCCATAGCATTGGATTAGCTGCAGGGTTTGTCTCCACGGCTCTAGAGCTAGTATTCAGCATGTTTTAGAGGTTTATCTGCTTCAGCACACCTGGTTTTAATCAGCAACAAATAGCTGAGCTGCTTAACAGTTAATCTAACTTGTTAAAGCAGGAAAATCCACTGAAACATGCTGGATAGCAGCTCTCCGGTAGCTCTGGGCTCAAGTTACAGTCTGCTGCATAAAATTATGAAAATGCCCCATGAGAAAATTATTCTGTAATGTGTTCAGCTCACTAAAACTGCCCTGGTTTATTTATTTACTGATAACAGCTGCTCTCTTGGTTCTAGGTCCTCTGGTGTCTGCAGCTGGTCTCTGGTGTCTGCAGGTGGTCTCCTCTGCTGGTGTCGTCAGGATCAGGAGCTTCCAGAAGAATGTGCCTTTCAATGACTCTTTCCCCCTTATTTGTTATATTAATTAAATAAATCTCAATTTATATATTTCCTGTTTTTGTTCATGTCCATAAATACTTAAACATGCTTGAAATTAAAATGAGCTTTTAACAGTGAGGTGCTAGTTTAGTTCATCACAATAGAGCTAGTTAAACATGCATTGTGATAATTCAATTAATGTAATTTATAAATATCCATTAAAATATCAAAACTGGAATCTATATGAGATATTTGGCAGCACAAAAAAAACTTGTCAAACACAATATTTATTATAATAATTGTGGGCAGACAGGAGACAGAGCTGATGGAGGTTCTCAGTCATCGAAGGATGGCTGAAGGCTTTCCAGGAACAGGAGATGTGGTGTTGTCTCTTCTCTCTCTATTCTGCCAGATGAGCTGATAGGTTACAGGTGTGTGAGGACATCCTCATGCTGTCATAACCAGATGACAGGAGTTATCAGGTGATCAGCCAGGCTAATGAGATGCAGAAAGAAAACAAATTCAGGACAGTGTACAATATGTGGTGTTGCTCACCTTATGTGCTCTTATAGAGTATTAACGTGTGCATGCCTCATGGTGTAGAGTACATATTTTGCTGAGTGTCCTGCAATAATGCAGGTTATTAGTTAATATACTTTTGATAGCAAAAACAAAATATTTAATGTAAAAGTTATTTTCCAGGAGAATCAGCTCACACGTCACCACCAAGTGTCACAGGGGCAGAATCAGTAGCCTCCGTCATGATGTAATCACATACTTATTTAATTGTTAATATCTTAAAAATTCTGAAATGTTTTAATTTTTTTTTTACCTTGAACAGTTCACTGAGCTTGCACTGTCACTGAGGTGGAAGCTGGAATCAACAGCAGACACCTCACACCTTGGTCTTTTCAGGGGGTGTGGCCGCTGCTCTGGGACTTTCTGGAAGATGAATTTTCATCATGGTCCCCGTGGGTCACCAGACACACTGCGGCTGTGAACTCCATTCTGGCTGGCTATGTAAAAACAAAGAAGCAGCACATTTATAAATGTTTAAAAGAGCATAAAATCACGTGTAACAATAATCTGTAAAATAAATTAAAACTAGAAGGTAATAAAATGTTTACATAGAAGATTATTAAAAATAATTCACCTTTGCTACAGGTAAGGCTTCACATCAGCCTGGACAAGTGCATTCTTGCAGCTAAATCAGTCTGACAGCCAGTGTCTTGGGTAGATTTAGCCTGAAAAAAATATATAAGCACATTGTTGTTGGGAGTTTATAAAGTCAGATAATATACAAAAGAAACTGTCCTATATAGGCGCTTTATAACATTCCTAGTGTGTGATCATTATAACGTAAAAGTCAGTCACCTATGATGTGGAGAGCCTGAAATGCGACCTCCTGAACAGAATTCCTCACAGAACCGGGTCACAAGCTGGGTTTCACGCTGTAATGCTGTCAACTAGTGCAGCGTTAGTTAGAGCCACTGTTGCAGAATTGCCGACTGACTAGCTAAAGGAAGTGAACCACGTCTCTCAGACTTTGCATTTAGGTAGGGAATTGTCTTTAGAAGATGTTAAAACGTTTATTTAGCTGACTCACCTCAGACTGGAGCCCGCCGTGGTGGGGGAGCAGAGTCGGTGGGCTGCATCTAAATCGCGGAAGAGCCACGGTGGGCACAGCCTCCCTCTTCAAACGGAGACGTGCAGAATCGCGGGTAAAATGCCCACAGAGTCACCGCAAGCATACTACACTACACCTACTCACCAATACTAAGACGATATGGAGCACTAAACCCGAAATACTTTCCCAATTACACTAACAGCCAAACACTAACTAAACTACAATATCCAACAGCCAAGCTAACACTAAATAAGTATTTATAACACTAAAAGATATGCTAAGACTAGGATATGCTAATGCTATATGCTAATGCTGAACTACCGCTGACCTCCTACGCTCACTTGCAAATCCAACTCCCACTCGCCACAGGGCGTGGCCGAGACGCTCGTTGCTTTTATAACTTTGGCACGGAGCTGCTACGTAGTACTCTACTGGTTTACGTAGTACTTTACTCTTTAGCCATTGGCTAAAATGTATTCAAAATGACTCAAATTCTATGTTTTCAGCTGAAGGTGGCGCATTACTGTGGTTTTTAGACAGAATTTTTAATTTTTAAAGAAAATGCACCAAAATGCTAAAATAAAGAATGCACACATTTAAAACACTATTAGACACTCATTTATACAGTTCATCAGCAAAAAAAAGTTAATTTAGACGTTACTTGCTCTTTAAGGATTGGATGCAATCAAACTTCCTCCAGTTAAACAAAGACAAGACGAATTATTTTCTTTGGAAACAATCAGGATAAGATGGAGGTTATTACTCAACTTGGCTCCAGAAGGATAAAGACAGACTCGGGTTAAAAATCTTGGTGTCATGATTGATTCAGACCTGAGCTTCACTGGTCACATGATTAAGGCAATAACTAGATCAGCGTTTTATCATCTTCATCTATGTCCAGACCAGACCTGGGGAAACTCGTTAATGTGTTCATCTCCAGCAGGCTGGACTATTGCAACAGTCTTTTGACTGGTCTTCCCCAAAAAAGCTGTGAAGCAACGGCAGCTTATTCAGAACGCTGCTGCTAGAGTCTTAACAGGAACCAATGGGCCATTCCCATCTGTACCGGGTTGGCCCGGGCCGGGTAGCCCCAGTCGGCCCCAGCCTGGCCCGGTTGATTCCACACATCCTTGTCTTAAGCCCATGTGGGCTGATTCTACCCACCAATCAGAGGCTTGCTCTAATGGAAGGTGTGAATGGGCTGATTCTACCCACCAATCAGAGGCTTGCTCTAATGGAAGGTGTGAATTGCTGTCAGCAGTGGGTGTGTTGGCCCTGGTCGGCCTGAAGCAGTACCCCTCGGGAAGAGGGCCAAGAATGAGCCTTGGTTGGCCCGGAAAAATACCAGGCCACCCAGATATGTAAACAACCTACGCTACCCGGCCCGGGCCGACCTGGTACAGATGGGAATGGGGCTCAAGAGAACCGAGCACATCACTCCTGTTCTTAGATCTCTACACTGGTAACCAGTAAACTACAGAATCCATTTCAAAGTGCTTCTACTAGTTTATAAATCACTCATGGCCAGAATACATGTCAGATCTCCTCCAAGTATAGACGCCCAGCAGGGCTCTGCGATCCTTAGGAAACAGTCAGCTGGTAGAACCTCGGGTCAGAACCAAACAGGGTGAAGCTGCTTTTAGCTACTATGCTGCTCACAGATGGAATCAGCTTCCTCATGACCTAAAAGGTGCCCCAACTCTAGTAACTTATAAATCAAAATTGAAAATCAGCCTATAAATAAATGTTCTTATTCTGCACTTTATTTGCTCACCCTTTAACTTTATTTCTTTTTAATTTTTAAATTGTATTTTATGTCACTGTCACGGCTGCCAGCCTGAAGAGGGAAAAAGCAGCCAGGTTCAGAACTCTGCAGCCCGGTTGTTAACATCTACCAGGAGGTCTGAACATATAACACCAGTCCTACGTGCCTTGCATTGGCTCCCTGTTTTTTATCGCATCAGGTTTAAGGTCCTCCTGTTTGTGTTCAAGGCGTTAAACACAGGGGCTCCTAAATATCTTTCCGATGTCATCCACCAGCATGTCCCGGTGCGTTCCCTTAGGTCAGCTGACCAGAGATTACTAACTGTGCCTAGGTACAGCCTGAAGTCTCGTGGTAGTCGAGCTTTGTTAGTACTTGGACCAAGTCTCTGGAATGAGCTGCCAGCTGATGTAAAACAGGCCACGTCATTAGAAACCTTTAAAGGAAGACTGAAAACACATCTGTTCTCGCTGGCTTTTGGACGTTGAAGTTGGGGGAAGTAGGCCAGATATGGAATGTGAACTGGCACTCAGGTTTTTGTACTGTATTTTAAAATGGATTTCTTATTGTATTTTTATAGGATTTATTACAGTATTTTACAGGGATTTTTTAGTGTATTTTAATGGATTTTTTAATGTATTTTAATGGTCATATCTCTGTCCTATTGTGTGGCATTTTATTGATGTACAGCGCTTTGTTTGTCCATTCTGGCCATGTGAAAGCGCTCTACAAATAAAGTTGATTTGATTTGATTTGAGGATCACCCAGCTCTGGTGGGTGACTGGACACCGCCCCTCCTCCTCCTCTCTTCCAGGCTGCTGAGGAGCACAGCTGAACTGAATCCTCCTGATGAGCCACACCTGGGATAAAAAGGCTGTGCCTTCAGCAGACTGAGAGGCAGCAGTGCAGGGGTTCTGCTGTCCTCCAGGTTTCGTTTGGTCTAACCCCGTCGTTGTGATGAGTTTTAACTTATAGTTTTAACTCTGAGTGATCCACATGGATCTTTTGTGCATGTCACCTAGTGTTGACTGTGTTTTAAGGTTAACTCGGATTTAGTTTTTAGACTTTTATCAACGTCGTTGTGTTTTTAAAACACCTTCAGTTTAGGTAAAACTTTTAATAAAGTTTTAACCAGGTGTTTTATATAGTTGATAATTTGTCTTTTAATTGTTAACCTTATAGTGAATTTTTCGTTTTGCATTATTTTAATAATGCTCGCCATCTGTTTGCTCTTGTTTTTAGAACCTTTTATCACAGTTAAACCCATTTTAAACGCCACTGTCGTATTTCTTATGTTACCCCCTCCTTCACATTTTAACATCTCCTGTCGGGGACGTAACAGTCACAATGATTTTAATCTCCTTGCTAATGGAAAGCACATTGAATTGCCTCTGTGTATGAAATGTGCTTTATAAATAAAGCTGCCTTGCCCGTCTGACTGGTGTCAGAGCTTGGTCTCATTGTCGGCAGTAAGTTGGGCTCGTTCCTGGTGAGAGCTGGACTCCACCAAGGCTGCCCTTTGTCACAGATTTTGTTCAGAACTTTTATGGACAGGACTAGACACAGCCAAGGTGTTAAGGGGATCCTTTTTGGTGGCCTGAGGATTGTCTCTGCTTTACATTGTTTTTCTCAATGTTTATTTTTTTCTCATTTAAAAAAATTTTAATCTTTTTTTTTTAAATCTTTATATATATATATATATATATATATATATATATATATATATATATATCCCGTTTTGCAGATGATGTGGTCCTGTTGGCTTCATCAGAACGTGATCTTCAGCTTTTGCTAGAGCGGTTCACAGCTGTTGTGAAGCAGCTGGGATGAGAATCAGCTCCTCTAAATCTGAGGCCATGGTCTTGAGTTGGAAAAGGGTAGAATACCTTCCCCGGGTCAGGGACGAGGTCCTGCCTCAGGTGGAGGAGTTTAAGCTTCTCTGGGTCTTGTTCACGAGTGAGGGAAAAATGGAGCGCGAGATCGATAGGCGGATTGGTACCGAGTCTGCAGTGGTGCAGGCGTTGTACCGGTCTGTTGTGGTGGAGAGAAAGCTTAGCCAGAAGGCAAAGTTCTCGACTTACCGGTCGAGCCATGTTCCTACCCTCACCTGTGGTCACGAGTAGGGTTGTCACGGTAACCGGTATAGCGGTAAACACCGGTAAAAAAGTTGACAATAAAAATAACCGTCCAGTTTTTAAAAAACTAAATTATCTCGGTGGGTTTACCGTGGCCGCGGTTTAGGCGCGGTGACCCTTACCAGCCACCGTCGCTTCTGCTGAAGTTCCCGCACACACGCACTTTTTAGTTTGCAACCAAAACTTTGAAGCTGAAATAATGGCCGAAGGCAGAGACGGCAGCGCCCAGGACATCCATCAGCCCTCAAAGAAGACTAAATCGGAAGTATGGGCATATTTTGGATTTCTGAAAAATGCTGAGGGACAGTTAATAGAAGACGGCTATCCCGTTTGCAGAACGTGCAGGAAACAAGTGTCTGCAAAAGGCAGCAACACTTCGAATCTAATGGCACATCTGCGTGACCATAACCCACGTCTCTACAGCCAGTGTAAGGTAAGTTAACATTAGCATTTTAGCTTAAATGCATGACGTGAGGACTTTTGGCTGAGGGAGAATGCAACGAGTCACTATATACTGCAGCCGCAGCGTCCTCTGCCAGCATTTAAACCGTGTCACGGACACCCCCATATTAAAATGATGTTATGCATTATGGCGCCCATGGCGCAGATGAGTTGGTCGCCACTGCTCACCCTATTATTATGAATTTAATAATGGTTACTGCTTGATGACATTTATCCTAATCTGCAATGATATGATATCATGTTAACTTGAAGGACACAAACCGAGGACGATAATATTTTCCTATTTCAGTTTGTGTAGAACAATGCTTTCTGAACATATGCAACACCGTTTAAAAAATACCGCGATAATACCGAAAACCGTGATAATTTTGGTCACAATGACTGTGAGGTTAAATTTTCATACCGTGACAACCCTAGTCACGAGCTTTGGGTAGTGACCGAAAGAACAAGATCACAGATACAAGCGGCCAAAATTAGTTTTCTCTGAAGGGAGTCTGGGTACTCTCAGAGATAGGGTGAGAAACTTGGTCATCTGGGAGGGGCGTGGAGTAGACCAGCTGCTCCTCCACAATGAGAGGCTCTGGCATTCTCAGCTGACCAGGGAACGCCTTGAGATTCCCCCAGAGGAGCTGGCCCAAGTGGGTGGGGAGAGGGAAGTCTGGGTCTCTCTGTTTAGGCTGCTGTCCCTGCGACCTGACCCCGGATGTGTGGATGAGAATGGATGGATGAATGAAACTTCAGCTGTTTCTGGTAATGGGTCTCACACTGATGTGGAGAAATGTTTTTCATTCAAGCATAAACTACCTCTCTAAGATCAAAGGTCAGCCTTTAGGATCTTCTGCTCCAGAAGAGATTTCATGGTTCCATCATATCACCAGGTTCTTAAGCAGCACAATAGTCCCAGACCATAACGCTGGCACCACCATGTCTGACTGATGGTGTGTTTAGTCCCACATGAACAGGACACGCACCTTCCAGAAAGTTCTGCTTGGGTCTTGTCAGTCAACAGAATATTCACCCTAAAGTCCAGGGGAGCCTGGCAAATGTGAGATGAGCCTTTTTTTTGTTTAAACGCAGAAGTTTTGTATTTTTTGTCGAATCGTGACCTCTGACCTTATTTTGAACAAAGCCAGTCCTGAAGTTTACGTTTAGAGATGTTCAGCCACCTTTATTCAGTGAGACAAGTTGCACTGAAGGGATTTCCCAATTCTACGAATCTGACTGCACTCAGGCCTGGGTGTGGCTGGAAAAATGTCTCGGCTTTACAAATAACGTGGTTGACAGTTAAGATGAGGAGTTTGTTTGGCTGTAATTTGGATCATTCAGCAAAACATCTGCATTAGAAAAAGAACTTTGGGACTGTAAATAATGTTTCCTCATTAAACGACACATGAAAACCACGTTTTATATTTACTGAGCCGTCTGATACAGAAAGGCGTTTCATCTGCAACATTTAAATAAGCAAAAAATAAAAGATATAACCACTAAAGAACCCCGTTAAAATGTTAAGACGGCCTAAAGAACAAGAGATTTTAATGACTGACATACGTCATCAAAGACGGCCTTCTCCACATCCATGCAGCGCAGAGATCCATCATAGCTGAGGGTGAGCAGCTGGCTGGGATGAACGGTGGAGAACGCCATGCAGCCCACTGGACGGGTGTGAGGTTCAAAGAGCAGAACGCCATCATCGCCCCAATCAGCGCCCTAACAGAACAGAGGTTAGTTGTGACATCATCATCATCATAACCAGTGGACCTTCTCTAATGGGCCTTTCCCATCTGTACCGGGTCGGCCGGGCCGGGTAGCGTAGGTTGTTTACATATCTGGGTGGCCTGGTATTTTTCCGGGCCAACCAAGGCTCATTCTCAGCCCTCTTCTCGAGGGGGTCTGCTTCAGGCCGACCAGGGCCAACACACCCACTGCTGACAGCAAATTCACACCTTCCATTAGAGCTCTGATTGGTGGGTAGAATCAGCCCACATGGGCTTAAGACAAGGATGTGTGGAATCAACCGGGCCAGGCTGGGGCCGACTGGGGCTACCCGGCCCGGGCCGACCCGGTACAGATGGGAATGGCCCATAAAACACTAACATTAAGGTTTAAATCAGGATAATGGTCGTAAGATCTACTTCTGCCATCTAGTGGTGAAAGGCCTGAGATAACTCACCAAATTCCACAATCCCACTTTTCCCAACTTGTCTCCAGCAGCCAGCAGCAGGGCAGGGCAGGGCAGGGCAGGGCAGGGCCGCCCTGCAGGGCAGGGCAGGGCAGGGCAGGGCAGGGCAGGGCAGGGCCGCCCTGCAGGGCAGGGCAGGGCAGGGCAGGGCCGCCCTGCAGGGCAGGGCAGGGCAGGGCAGGGCAGGGCCGCCCTGCAGGGCAGGGCAGGGCAGGGCCGCCCTGCAGGGCAGGGCAGGGCATGGCAGGGCAGGGCAGGGCAGGGCAGGGCAGGGCAGGGCAGGGCAGGGCCGCCCTGCAGGGCAGGGGAAGGAAGGGCAGGGCCGCCCTGCAGGGCAGGGCAGGGCAGGGCAGGGCCGCCCTGCAGGGCAGGGCAGGGCAGGGCAGGGCAGGGCCGCCCGGCAGGGCAGGGCAGGGCAGGGCTGCCCTGCAGGGCAGGGCAGGGCAGGGCAGGGCAGGGCAGCCCTGCAGGGCAGGGCAGGGCAGGGCCGCCCTGCAGGGCAGGGCAGGGCAGGGCAGGGCAGGGCCGCCCTGCAGGGCAGGGCAGGGCAGCCTTGCAGGGCAGGGCAGGGCAGGGCCGCCCTGCAGGGCAGGGCAGGGCAGGGCAGGGCCGCCCTGCAGGGCAGGGCAGGGCAGGGCAGGGCAGGGCAGAGCCGCCCTGCAGGGCAGGGCAGGGCAGGGCAGAGCCGCCCTGCAGGGCAGGGCAGGGCAGGGCCGCCCTGCAGGGCAGGGCAGGGCAGGGCCGCCCTGCAGGGCAGGGCAGGGCAGGGCCGCCCTGCAGGGCAGGGCAGGGCAGGGCAGGGCCGCCCTGCAGGGCAGGGAAGGGCAGGGCAGGGCAGGGCAGGGCCGCCCTGCAGGGCAGGGCAGGGCAGGGCAGGGCAGGGCAGGGACGGGCCACCCTGCAGGGCAGGGCAGGGCAGGGGAGGGCAGGGCAGGGCAGGGCAGGGCCGCCCTGCAGGGCAGGGCAGGGCAGGGCAGGGCAGGGCCGCCCTGCAGGGCAGGGCAGGGCAGGGCCGCCCTGCAGGGCAGGGCAGGGCAGGGCAGGGCCGCCCTGCAGGGCAGGGCAGGGCAGGGCACGGCAGGGCAGGGCAGGGCAGGGCAAGCAGGGCAGGGCAGGGCAGGGCAGGGCAGCCCTGCAGGGCAGGGCAGGGCAGGGCAGGGCAGCCCTGCAGGGCAGGGCAGGGCAGCCCTGCAGGGCAGGGCAGGGCAGAGCAGGGCAGGGCAGGGCAGGGCAGGGCACGGCAGGGCAGGGCAGCCCTGCAGGGCAGGGCAGGGCAGGGCAGGGCAGGGCAGCCCTGCAGGGCAGGGCAGGGCAGGGCAGGGCAGCCCTGCAGGGCAGGGCAGGGCAGGGCAGGGCAGCCCTGCAGGGCAGGGCAGGGCAGGGCAGCCCGGCAGGGCAGCCCGGCAGGGCAGCCCTGCAGGGCAGGGCAGGGCAGGGCAGGGCAGCCCTGCAGGGCAGGGCAGGGCAGGGCAGGACAGCCCTGCAGGGCAGGGCAGGGCAGGGCAGGGCAGGGCAGGGCAGGGCAGGGCAGCCCTGCAGGGCAGGGCAGGGCAGCCCTGCAGGGCAGGGCAGGGCAGCCCTGCAGGGTAGGGCAGGGCAGGGCAGAGCGGGACAGGGCAGGGCAGCCCTGCAGGGCAGGGCAGGGCAGGGCAGGGCAGCCCTGCAGGGCAGGGCAGGGCAGGGCAGGGCAGCCCTGCAGGGCAGGGCAGGGCAGGGCAGGGCAGCCCTGCAGGGCAGGGCAGGGCAGCCCGGCAGGGCAGGGCAGGGCAGGGCCGCCCTGCAGGGCAGGGCAGGGCAGGGCAGGGCCGCCCTGCAGGGCAGGGCAGGACAGGGCAGGGCAGGGCAGCCCTGCAGGGCAGGGCAGGGCAGCCCTGCAGGGCAGGGCAGGGCAGGGCAGCCCTGCAGGGCAGGGCAGGGCAGGGCAGCCCTGCAGGGCAGGGCAGGGCAGCCCTGCAGGGTAGGGCAGGGCAGGGCAGAGCGGGGCAGGGCAGGGCAGCCCTGCAGGGCAGGGCAGGGCAGGGCAGCCCTGCAGGGCAGGGCAGGGCAGGGCAGGGCAGCCCTGCAGGGCAGGGCAGGGCAGCCCTGCAGGGTAGGGCAGGGCAGCCCTGCAGGGTAGGGCAGGGCAGCCCTGCAGGGTAGGGCAGGGCAGGGCAGAGCGGGGCAGGGCAGGGCAGCCCTGCAGGGCAGGGCAGGGCAGGGCAGCCCTGCAGGGCAGGGCAGGGCAGGGCAGGGCAGCCCTGCAGGGCAGGGCAGGGCAGGGCAGGGCAGGGCCGCCCTGCAGGGCAGGGCAGGGCAGGGCAGGGCAGCCCTGCAGGGCAGGGCAGGACAGGGCAGGGCAGCCCTGCAGGGCAGGGCAGGACAGGGCAGGGCAGCCCTGCAGGGCAGGGCAGGGCAGCCCTGCAGGGCAAGCAGGGCAGGGCAGGGCAGGGCAGCCCTGCAGGGCAGGGCAGGGCAGCCCTGCAGGGCAGGGCAGGGCAGGGCAGCCCTTCAGGGCAGGGCAGGGCAGCCCAGCAGGGCAGGGCAGGGCAGCCCTGCAGGGCATGGCAGGGCAGCCCTGCAGGGCAGGGCAGGGCAGGGCAGCCCTGCAGGGCAGGGCAGGGCAGGGCAGCCCTGCAGGGCAGGGCAGGGCAGGGCAGGGCAGGGCAGCCCTGCAGGGCAGGGCAGGGCAGCCCTGCAGGGCAGGGCAGGGCAGGGCAGGCAGCCCTGCAGGGCAGGGCAGGGCAGAGCGGGGCAGGGCAGGGCAGCCCTGCAGGGCAGGGCAGGGCAGGGCAGCCCTGCAGGGCAGGGCAGGGCAGGGCAGCCCTGCAGGGCAGGGCAGGGCAGCCCTGCAGGGCAGGGCAGGGCAGGGCAGCCCTGCAGGGCAGGGCAGGGCAGGACAGGGCAGCCCTGCAGGGCAGGGCAGGGCAGCCCGGCAGGGCAGCCCTGCAGGGCAGGGCAGGGCAGGGCAGGGCAGCCCTGCAGGGCAGGGCAGGGCAGGACAGGGCAGGGCAGGGTAGCCCGGCAGGGCAGGGCAGGGCAGGGCAGGGCAGCCCTGCAGGGCAGGGCAGGGCAGGGCAGGGCAGCCCTGCAGGGCAGGGCAGGGCAGGACAGGGCAGGGCAGGGCAGGGAAGGGCAGGGCAGGGCAGCCCTGCAGGGCAGGGCAGGGCAGGGCAGCCCTGCAGGGCAGGGCAGGGCAGGGCAGGGCAGCCCTGCAGGGCAGGGCAGGGCAGCCCTGCAGGGCAGGGCAGGGCAGGGCAGGGCAGGGCAGGGCAGGGCAGGGCAGCCCTGCAGGGCAGGGCAGGGCAGGGCAGGGCAGCCCTGCAGGGCAGGGCAGGGCAGGGCAGCCCTGCAGGGCAGGGCAGGGCAGGGCAGCCCTGCAGGGCAGGGCAGGGCAGCCCGGCAGGGCAGCCCTGCAGGGCAGGGCAGGGCAGGGCAGCCCTGCAGGGCAGGGCAGGGCAGCTCGGCAGGGCAGCCCTGCAGGGCAGGGCAGGGCAGGGCAGCCCTGCAGGGCAGGGCAGGGCAGGGCAGGGCAGGGCAGAGCAGCCCTGCAGGGCAGGGCAGGGCAGCCCTGCAGGGCAGGGCAGGGCAGGACAGGGCAGGGCAGGGCAGCCCGGCAGGGCAGGGCAGGGCAGGGCAGCCCTGCAGGGCATGGCAGGGCAGGGCAGGGCAGCCCTGCAGGGCAGGGCAGGGCAGCCCTGCAGGGCAGGGCAGGGCAGCCCGGCAGGGCAGGGCAGGGCAGGGCAGGGCAGCCCTGCAGGGCAGGGCAGGGCAGGGCAGAGCAGGGCAGGGCAGGGCAGCCCTGCAGGGCAGGGCAGGGCAGGGCAGGGCAGCCCTGCAGGGCAGGGCAGGCCTGCAGGGCAGGGCAGCCCGGCAGGGCAGGGCAGGGCAGCCCTGCAGGGCAGGGCAGGGCAGGGCAGGGCAGGGCAGGGCAGGGCAGGGCAGGGCAGCCCTGCAGGGCAGGGCAGGGCAGGGCAGCCCTGCAGGGCAGGGCAGGGCAGGACAGGGCAGGGCAGGGCAGCCCGGCAGGGCAGGGCAGCCCTGCAGGGCAGGGCAGGGCAGGGCAGGGCAGGGCAGAGCAGGGCAGGGCAGGGCAGGGCAGCCCTGCAGGGCAGGGCAGGGCAGCCCTGCAGGGTAGGGCAGGGCAGGGCAGGGCAGGGCAGCCCTGCAGGGCAGGGCAGGGCAGCCCTGCAGGGCAGGGCAGGGCAGCCCTGCAGGGCAGGGCAGGGCACGGCAGGGCAGGGCAGGGCAAGCAGGGCAGGGCAGGGCAGGGCAGGGCAGCCCTGCAGGGCAGGGCAGGGCAGGGCAGGGCAGCCCTGCAGGGCAGGGCAGGCCTGCAGGGCAGGGCAGGGCAGGGCAGGGCAGCCCTGCAGGGCAAGGCAGGGCAGGGCAGGGCAGGGTAGGGCAGGGCAGGGCAGCCCTGCAGGGCAGGGCAGGGCAGCCCGGCAGGGCAGGGCAGGGCAGGGCAGCCCGGCAGGGCAGGGCAGCCCGGCAGGGCAGGGCAGGGCAGGGCAGCCCTGCAGGGCAGGGCAGGGCAGCCCTGCAGGGCAGGGCAGGGCAGGGCAGGGCAGGGCAGGGCAGCCCTGCAGGGCAGGGCAGGGCAGGGCAGGGCAGGGCAGCCCTGCAGGGCAGGGCAGGGCAGGGCAGCCCTGCAGGGCAGGGCAGGGCAGGGCAGCCCTGCAGGGCAGGGCAGGGCGGGGCAGGGCAGCCCTGCAGGGCAGGGCAGGGCGGGGCAGGGCAGCCCTGCAGGGCAGGGCAGGGCGGGGCAGGGCAGCCCTGCAGGGCAGGGCAGGGCAGGGCAGCCCTGCAGGGCAGGGCAGGGCAGGGCAGCCCTGCAGGGCAGGGCAGGGCAGGGCAGCCCTGCAGGGCAGGGCAGGGCAGGGCAGCCCTGCAGGGAGGGCAGGGCAGGGCAGGGCAGGGCAGCCCTGCAGGGCAGGGCAGGGCAGGGCAGCCCTGCAGGGCAGGGCAGGGCGGGGCAGGGCAGGGCAGCCCTGCAGGGCAGGGCAGGGCGGGGCAGGGCAGGGCAGCCCTGCAGGGCAGGGCAGGGCAGGGCAGGGCAGCCCTGCAGGGCAGGGCAGGGCAGGGCAGGGCAGCCCTGCAGGGCAGGGCAGGGAGGGCAGGGCAGGGCAGGGCAGCCCTGCAGGGCAGGGCAGGGCAGGGCAGGGCGGGCAGGGCAGGGCAGGGCAGCCCTGCAGGGCAGGGCAGGGCAGGGCAGCCCTGCAGGGCAGGGCAGGGCAGGGCAGGGCAGCCCTGCAGGGCAGGGCAGGGCAGGGCAGGGCAGATTCTATAATGTTGTTAGTGATTTAAAAAGTGCTGAAGCGATACGGTGTCACAACTATCCACATTCCCCAGAGAGTATATTATTTACAAGCTGTGCAGGGTTTCATCACTAGATCCACACTGTCATTGTATACCGTAGGATAAGAGCCAGAGCACCTGTGAACAACCCATTATTGGTTAGGAATATAAACAGATTTTAGAGAAACTGGTTTTAATTTAACTAACCGTGTCGTCTTTCAGTCACGATTTGATGTTTTATCAATAAAAATAAAAAAGAAGTGGCTTTGAACTTTGAGCTTGCTGTCAACAAATTTACACAAAGAAAACAAATAATTTGATGAATCAGTTTTGTTTCTTTAAAAGGGAACATAAGCAAAGCTCACCTTTTACACCCTTATTGCTATCATGTGTACGTTCTCCATAAATACTCCAAACTCGATAAAAATATGTCCATCCATTTTTTTGTCAGTGTTTGGTTTAGGAATTATGTGTCTAAAAAAAGTCATTTCAAAACGTCACCATTTGTGATGTCACAAGGACGAAAATCAGAATTGAATAACCTCTCACTTGCAAGAAACAAACATAACCTGACGAGCCATTTGTTCCCTTTAGAACCCGTCACCTCACCCCCGATGGATGGAGTCGGATCCTCAGGTAAATTCTTTAATTTTATCTCTACATACATTTATTAATGTACAATATTTCATTTTTTAAAGCAAAATGTTTTCATTTTTATCAGCAAAGTCTGACTGAACAAACTAAGTTTAACCAAATTTGAATGTGTCAAGGCAGGAGGAAGTTTCTTGACCCACGACATGCAGAATCACCATACGGAGAACAAGAAAGTAAGTAAAAAAGGTTTTTATTACTACATAAAGAGCGATGTGAGAGACGGGAGCAGACGAGACGCAGGACTGGCAGCAGGAATCCAGGGGGGAGATTCTAAGGAGAGAGAACGAGTGAATATGAGGCGAAAACAAATGGAAACGTTGTCGGAAAGACTGGTCTTACTGTTTCTGGGTAGTGGTATTTGTACAGGAAGGTTGCTAGGTCCGGGTGAGCTGAGGAGAGCCACAGGGAAGGATATTGTTTGGTCCAGAGGTGCAGGAACAGGAATGGATGTTGGAAGGTGAGCGGCTGAGAGCGGGCGGCCAGGGGATGAAGCAGTGTGTCAGGCAGGCTGAGATCCGGGTCTTGTTCTGGAGCTGGTGAGAGATTGTGAGGAACCTGGAGGAGAGCAGGAAAGGGCATCAGGGGGGTTTTCAGACGTCAGGTTAATCAGAGCAAAATACAAAGTCAAGGTCGGGTCGGAGGCTAGAGCTACCCAAAGAGTAATCATCTGGCGTGGTGAAGTGTCACACTGCTCCTTAAATCCCCTGGACCTTGATGGTGAGATCAGCTGCAGCTGGGAGCTCTCAGACACGCCCACCTGTGAAAACAATACTCAGGAGAAAACCTGGTTACAGGCTGACAGCTCACCACGGACCATGACAGTACCCCCCCCCCTCAACGGACGCCACCCGGCGGCCGAGCAGAGGAGGAGGAGGAGGCGGAGGAGGAGGAAGCCCGATAGGCCTCGAAGTCCCTGATGAGACCCGGGTCGGTGATGAAGGAGCGGGGAACCCAGGAGCGATCCTCGGGACCGTAGCCCTCCCAGTCCACCAGGTACTGGAAGCCCCGACCCCGGGGGCGGACATCGAGGAGGCGACGGACAGGGTAAACCAGACCACCACCAACGAGCCGGGCAGGCGGAGGAGGAGCAGGAGCAGGACACAGGGGACTAGAGAGGACAGGCTTAATCAGGGAGACGTGGAACACCGGGTGGACCCCCATGGATGAGGGGAGAGCCAGACGGACAGTGGACGGACTGATGACATCAACGATGGAATAAGGACCGATGAACCGAGGAGCCAGTTTCTTGCTGGTGTCTTTCAGGCGGATATCCCTGGTGGAGAGCCAGACCTTCTGCCCAGGAGCATACACAGGGGCGGGTCGCCTGTGTCGATCGGCCAGGCGGCGGTTGCGGTCAGCAGTCCTCTGGAGAGCCGCCGTGGTCTGAGCCCAGGTGCGCCTGGCACGGCGAATGAACTGGGGTGCAGTAGCAGGAGGATCTGGAATCGATGGAAACAGAGGGGGCTGGTAGCCGAGTACGGTTTCAAACGGAGACAGACCAGTAGATGTCGAGGTGTGAGCATTATGGGCATACTCCACCCAGGGAAGTTGGGAACTCCAACCAGAGGGGTTGGATGAACAGACGCACCGTAGCATGGCCTCGAGCTCCTGGTTCATTCTTTCACATTGTCCGTTCGTCTGAGGGTGGAATCCAGAGCTCAAGGCGACACGAGCCCCCAGGTGATCAGCGAATTCCTTCCATACCCGGGACAGGAACTGGGGGCCACGGTCGGATAATATTTCAGAGGGGATGCCATGGAGACGGAAAACATGTTTGATAAGCAGTTGGGCTGTTTCGGCAGAGGATGGGAGTGCTTTGAGGGGAACCAGGTGACAGGATTTAGAAAAACGATCAACAATGGTGAGGATGACAGAAAAACCGTTAGAGGGAGGCAAACCAGTGACGAAATCTAAAGCAATGTGAGACCAAGGGCGAGTGGGTACGGGGAGTGGGTTAAGAAGTCCGGCTGGAGGTTGGTTACTGGATTTGTTACGGGCACAGATGGAACAGGCATTGATGTATTCACGGACGTCTTTGTACATGGATGGCCACCAGAAGGTCCTGCGGATAAGAGCTAGAGTGCGACCGACCCCCGGGTGGATGGAAAATTTTGCCGTGTGGGCCCAATGAATCAGGTCTCCCCGAACCCTGGTGGGAACATAAAGTTTTTGAGGTGGACCGGTACCTGGGTCTGGATCGGTTTGTTGGGCCTCCTGAACCTTTCTGGTGATGTCCCAGGCTACAGCGCCCACGATGCAGGATGGCGGCAGGATTGGTGTGAGTTCAGGGTCTTTGTCGGGAGAGTACAAACGGGATAGGGCATCCGGCTTGGTGTTCTTGGAACCGGGTCTGTAAGAGATAAGGAAACGGAAACGGGAAAAGAATAGGGACCAGCGGGACTGTCGAGGGTTTAATCTTTTTGCTTCCTTTAAGTATGCTAGGTTCTTATGATCTGTCCAGATGATGATGGGGTGTTCTGCACCCTCCAGCCAATGCCGCCACTCCTCCAGAGCCAATTTAATAGCCAGAAGTTCCCGATCTCCAACGTCATAATTCTGCTCCGCTGGTGAGAGGCGTCGAGAAAAAAATGCACATGGATGGAGACGGTGATCTGAGGGAGAGATCTGTGAGAGGACAGCACCAACACCAGAGTCTGAGGCGTCAACCTCCAGGGTAAACTGGGCGGAGGTGTCGGGACGGGTAAGAATAGGTGCTTGGGTGAACTTGTTCTTTAAGTCTTGAAAGGCTTTCTCAGCAGCGGGAGACCAGAGAAAGGGTTTGTTTATGGAAGTGAGTTGAGTGAGTGGGGCGGCAGTCTGACTGTAATCCTTAATGAATCGGCGGTAAAAATTTGCAAAACCCAGGAAACGCTGAAGTTGCTTACGTGTGGTGGGAGTAGGCCAGGAGAGAACTGATTGAATCTTGTCCGGATCAGTCTTCAACCGCCCGCTCTCGAGGATGAATCCAAGGAACTTGACAGATGGAACGTGGAACTCACATTTCTCTGCTTTAACATACAGACGGTTCTCCAGGAGGCGTTGAAGTATGGCTCTGACGTGATGACGGTGTTCTGCCGGGGATTTGGAAAAGATTAGAATGTCATCCAGGTATACAGTAACGAATTGGTTGAGGTAATCCCCGAGGACCGAGTTGACCAGGGACTGGAATACGGCAGGGGCATTAGTGAGACCGAATGGCATGACAAGATACTCGAAGTGACCTAAGGGAGTTTTGAATGCAGTTTTCCATTCGTCACCTTCTCTAATGCGAACGAGATGGTAGGCGTTGCGCAGATCTAGTTTTGTAAAGATAGTTGCATCTTGTATGGGTTCGAAGGTAGAGGAAAGTAATGGGAGTGGATATTTGTTTTTAACTGTGATCTGGTTGAGACCTCTGTAATCAATACAGGGTCTCAGGGAACCATCTTTTTTGGAAACAAAGAAAAACCCAGCGCCCAGGGGCGAGGTGGATGGTCTGATTAAACCGGAAGCTAGTGATTCCTTTATGTAGTTGGACATACTGATTTGTTCTGGTTTGGACAGATTATACAACCTGCTGGATGGTAGCGTGGCACCAGGCAGGAGGTCGATGGCGCAATCATAGGGTCGGTGAGGGGGCAGAGAGGAGGCACGGTCTTTACTGAAGACGAGCGAGAGGTCGTGGTACTCTTCTGGTACTCCTGACAGGTCAGGGGGAACCGGTGGATCGGGGTTAGATGCAGAACTGGAAGGTGAAGCAGAACGAAGGCAATTTGTCAAACAATGAGAACTCCAAACGGTAACTTGGGACGTTTTCCAATTTATCTGGGGATTATGGGTGATAAGCCAGTCATGTCCTAGAACAACAGGAGAGTGCGGAGATGGAAACACAAAAAACGAAATACTCTCCTGGTGGTTACCTGATACTTGTAAGTTTACTGGCACAGTCTGGTGGGTAATGGCAGTGAGTGTGTTACCATCCAGGGACGATGCTCTCAAAGGAGTCGGAAGAGGAATAGTGGGGATATCCAGCTTTTGAACGACTGTTTGGTCCAGCATGTTACGTTCACAGCCTGAATCAAGCAGGGCCTTCAACAAACAACTCTCTTGATTAAACATGATGGTACATGGTAGAGTACAGCGGGATTCTGAAACACCATTGCCACCCACCAGTATTCCCGGAACTACTGGTGGGCTTGCCCTTTTTAAACGTAGGGCGCAGCTCGAAAGTCGGTGACCAGGTTGACCGCAGTAGAGACAGAGGTTAGAAGTGAAACGACGTTGCCTTTCTCCTGGGGTTAAATTAGTTCTGCCTATATGCATGGGCTTGTCACCAGATGGTGTTGTAACTTGTGGCTGGAAATGTTTAATCTGGGTTAACGGCGGATGGGACACTGGAGAACTCGTAGAATGTACCTTGAGACGTTTCTCTATTTTTAGTGCTAAGGATATGAGAGATTCTAGATCGGGGGGTTCATGGCATAACGCCAACTGATCCTGGAGGCGATGGTTTAATGCCTGAGTGAATGCTCCAAGGAGTGAACCTTGATCTAGAGAGGAAACTGCAGCCAGTGTGCGAAACTCTATAGCGAAGTCAGCAACAGTCTGTTTTCCTTGACGGAGGTTCCACAGCTGTTTAGCTATTTCAGCGGGAGACTCAGAATGATCAAATGTCTGCTTGAATTCGGTCAGAAACTGTGAGAGGGAACCGCGCAGGAAACTGGCGTCGTGGCTCCTTGCTTCGGCCCAGTCTAACGCCTTGCCTCGGAGTAATCCGATTATGTATGAGATCTTTACAGAATCTACAACAAAAGCTTCGGGGGATCTCTCAAAAGTCAACTGACAGTTAAATAAAAAACCACGGCATTTGCCGAACTCACCGGAATATGTGTCAGAAGGGAGTGAGTCGGGTATCCGGAAGTTTATGGCAGGAGCCGGAACCGGATGTGCGGACGGAGGAGAAACAGGAGGCGGCTGGGCGGAAGGTTCCGGGGAAGTTAGCTTGGCAGTGAGGGTGCGTAACATGTTGTCCATAAGGAGTAACCGTTGGTGGGAGTCAGAGGATTGTTCTAGCAAGCTATGAATGGCGTGTTCGTGACGGGAGAGTGTTTCAGAAACGGCGGACGGAGAGTTAACGGACGGATCGGATTCTGCAATGGAGTCAATATTATGGCCGGATGATTCTGTCAAGGCAGGAGGAAGTTTCTTGACCCACGACATGCAGAATCACCATACGGAGAACAAGAAAGTAAGAAAAAAAGGTTTTTATTACTACATAAAGAGCGATGTGAGAGACGGGAGCAGACGAGACGCAGGACTGGCAGCAGGAATCCAGGGGGGAGATTCTAAGGAGAGAGAACGAGTGAATATGAGGCGAAAACAAATGGAAACGTTGTCGGAAAGACTGGTCTTACTGTTTCTGGGTAGTGGTATTTGTACAGGAAGGTTGCTAGGTCCGGGTGAGCTGAGGAGAGCCACAGGGAAGGATATTGTTTTGTCCAGAGGTGCAGGAACAGGAATGGATGTTGGAAGGTGAGCGGCTGAGAGCGGGCGGCCAGGGGATGAAGCAGTGTGTCAGGCAGGCTGAGATCCGGGTCTTGTTCTGGAGCTGGTGAGAGATTGTGAGGAACCTGGAGGAGAGCAGGAAACGGCATTAGGGGGGTTTTCAGACGTCAGGTTAATCAGAGCAAAATACAAAGTCAAGGTCGGGTCGGAGGCTAGAGCTACCCAAAGAGTAATCATCCGGCGTGGTGAAGTGTCACACTGCTCCTTAAATCCCCTGGACCTTGATGGTGAGATCAGCTGCAGCTGGGAGCTCTCAGACACGCCCACCTGTGA